TTCTGGTTGTCAAGTCAGTACATAACACAAGAGGGCGCACTGCCACTCTAAACCATTTATAACACAGGGGAACAGAAAGAAAGAAATTACAGTGATTGTTGAGGATACTCTTTGAGTTTCTTCTTACCTGAGAGTCAACAGAAGTGAAAGTACAGACATACAGATTTGAACTTTGAAAGAAATAATCAGTCCGTTTACTTTGTTTGATTTATTGACTGATAGTTTCACAAATGAGGTAACTCTTTCCCTCACTGTCGTTAATCGAATTGAAGATACCACTTTTGACTCTATTTTATTGTATCCCTCCAAGTGAAGATTAATCTTTTCAAACGGGTATTTTTTTCTTCTCGTCATATTAATCTAATTCATTGCCTTCGGAAATCAATTTTTTTATTTTTACATGTTTAGCTTCTTGTGCTGCCGATTCGTGTACGAGTGCAAGTAGAGGAACTTGTACTCCTGGATCACCCGACTTTACGTGCGCGTGTATTTCTGGCTACGAGGGCAGTTTTTGTGAAATAGGTAATCTATAACTTCTGAATAGATTATAAAAAAACATACATACATTCACTTTTGATGTAAAGCAAAATCCAAAGAAATTCTTATTCGTTGCTTATCAAGAAATTAAAGATACAGAGCAAACAGGGGAACAGAAAGAAAGAAATTACAGTGATTATTGAGGAAACTCTTTGAGTTTCTTCTTACCTGAGAGTCAACAGAAGTGAAAGTACAGACATACAGATTTGAACTTTGAAAGAAATAATCAGTCCGTTTACTTTGTTTGATTTATTGACTGATAGTTTCACAAATGAGGAAACTTTTTCCCTCACTGTCGTTAATCGAATTGAAGATACCACTTTTGACTCTATTTTACTGTATCCCTCCAAGTGAAGATTAATCTTTTCTAACGGATATTTTTTTCTTCTCGTCATATTTATCAAATTCATTGCCTTCGGAAATCAATTTTTTTATTTTTACATGTTTAGCTTCTTGTGCTGCCGATTCGTGTACGAGTGCAAGTAGAGGAACTTGTACTCCTGGATCACCCGACTTTACGTGCGCGTGTATTTCTGGCTACGAGGGCAGTTTTTGTGAAACAGGTAATCTATAACTTCTGAATAGATTATAAAAAAACATACATACATTCACTTTTGATGTAAAGCAAAATCCAATGAAATTCTTATTCGTTGCTTATCAAGAAAGTAAAGATACAGAGCGAACAGGAGAACAGAAAGAAAGAAATTTCAGTGATTGTTGAGGAAACTCTTTGAGTTTCTTCTTACTTGAGAGTCAACAGAAGTGAAAGTACAGACATACAGATTTGAACTTTGAAAGAAATAATCAGTCCGTTTACTTTGTTTGATTTATTGACTGATAGTTTCACAAATGAGGTAACTCTTTCTCTCACTGTCGTTAATCGAATTGAAGATACCACTTTTGACTCTATTTTACTGTATCCCTCCAAGTGAAGATTAATCTTTTCAAACGGGTATTTTTTTCTTCTCGTCATCTTTATCAAATTCATTGCCTTCGGAAATCTTTTTTTTTTTTTTACATGTTTAGCTTCTTGTGCTGCCGATTCGTGTACGAGTGCTAGTAGAGGAACTTGTACTCCTGGATCACCCGACTTTACGTGCGCGTGTATTTCTGGCTACGAGGGCAGTTTTTGTGAAACAGGTAATCTATAACTTCTGAATAGATTATAAAAAAACATACATACATTCACTTTTGATGTAAAAGAAAATCCAATGAAATTCTTATTCGTTGCTTATCAAGAAATTAAAGATACAGAGCGAACAGGGGAACAGAAAGAAAGAAATTACAGTGATTGTTGAGGAAACTCTTTGAGTTTCTTCTTACTTGAGAGTCAACAGAAGTGAAAGTACAGACTTACAGATTTGAACTTTGAAAGAAATAATCAGTCCGTTTTATACTTTGTTTGATTTATTGACTGATAGTTTCACAAATGAGGTAACTCTTTCCCTCACTGTCGTTAATCGAATTGAAGATACCACTTTTGACTCTATTTTTACTGTATCCCTCCAAGTGAAGATTAATCTTTTCTAACGGATATTTTTTTCTTCTCGTCATATTCATCAAATTCATTGCCTTCGGAAATCAACTTTTTGATTTTTACATGTTTAGCTTCTTGTGCTGCCGATTCGTGTACGAGTGCAAGTAGAGGAACTTGTACTCCTGGATCACCCGACTTTACGTGCGCGTGTATTTCTGGCTACGAGGGCAGTTTTTGTGAAATAGGTAATCTATAACTTCTGAATAGATTATAAAAAAACATACATACATTCACTTTTGACGTAAAGCAAAATCCAATGAAATTCTTATTCGTTGCTTATCAAGAAATTAAAGATACAGAGCGAACAGGGGAACAGAAAGAAAGAAATTACAGTGATTGTTGAGGAAACTCTTTCAGTTTCTTCTTACTTGAGAGTCAACAGAAGTGAAAGTACAGACATACAGATTTGAACTTTGAAAGAAATAATCAGTCCGTTTACTTTGTTTGATTTATTGTTAATCGAATTGAAGATACCACTTTTGACTCTATTTTACTGTTTCCCTCCAAGTGAAAAATAATCTTTTCAAACGGGTATTTTTTTCTTCTCGTCATATTTATTAAATTCATTGCCTTCGAAAATCATTTTTTTTTATTTTTACATGTTTAGCTTCTTGTGCTGCCGATTCGTGTACGAGTGCAAGTAGAGGAACTTGTACTCCTGGATCACCCGACTTTACGTGCGCGTGTATTTCTGGCTACGAGGGCAGTTTTTGTGAAATAGGTAATCTATAATTTCTGAATAGATTATAAAAAAACATACATACATTCACTTTTGATGTAATGCAAAATCCAAAGAAATTCTTATTCGTTGCTTATCAAGAAATTAAAGATACAGAGCGAACAGGTGAACAGAAAGAAAGAAATTACAGTGATTGTTGAGGATACTCTTTGAGTTTCTTCTTACCTGAGAGTCAACAGAAGTGAAAGTACAGACATAAAGATTTGAACTTTGAAAGAAATAATCATTCCGTTTACTTTGTTTGATTTATTGACTGATAGTTTCACAAATGAGGTAACTCTTTCCCTCACTGTCGTTAATCGAATTGAAGATACCACTTTTGACTCTATTTTACTGTATCCCTCCAAGTGAAGATTAATCTTTTCAAACGGGTATTTTTTTCTTCTCGTCATATTAATCAAATTCATTGCCTTCGGAAATCAATTTTTTTATTTTTACATGTTTAGCTTCTTGTGCTGCCGATTCGTGTACGAGTGCAAGTAGAGGAACTTGTACTCCTGGATCACCCGACTTTACGTGCGCGTGTATTTCTGGCTACGAGGGCAGGATTTGTGAAACAGGTAATCTATAACTTCTGAATAGATTATAAAAAAACATACATACATTCACTTTTGATGTAAAGCAAAATTCAATTAAATTCTTATTCGTTGCTTATCAAGAAATTAAAGATACAGAGCGAACAGGAGAACAGAAAGAAAGAAATTTCAGTGATTGTTGAGGAAACTCTTTGAGTTTCTTCTTACTTGAGAGTCAACAGAAGTGAAAGTACAGACATACAGATTTGAATTTTGAAAGAAATAATCAGTCCGTTTACTTTGTTTGATTTATTGACTGATAGTTTCACAAATGAGGTAACTCTTTCCCTCACTATCGTTAATCGAATTGAAGATACCACTTTTGACTCTATTTTTACTGTATCCCTCCAAGTGAAGATTAATCTTTTCAGACGGGTATTTTTTTCTTCTCGTCATCTTTATCAAACTCATTGCCTTCGGAAATCAATTTTTGTTTACATGTTTAGCTTCTTGTGTTGCTGATTCTTGTACGAGTAGAGGAACTTGTACTGCTGGATCACCCGACGTTACATGCATGTGTAATCCTGGCTACGAAGGCACTTCATGTGAAACAGGTAATTTATAACTTCTGAATAGATTATAAAAAACATACATACATTCACTTTTGATGTAAAGCAAAATCCAATGAAATTCTTATTCGTTGCTTATCAAGAAATTAAAGATACAGAGCGAACAGGGGAACAGAAAGAAAGAAATTACAGTGATTGTTGAGGAAACTCTTTGAGTTTCTTCTTACTTGAGAGTCAACAGAAGTGAAAGTACAGACATACAGATTTGAACTTTGAAAGAAATAATCAGTCCGTTTACTTTGTTTCATTTATTGACTGATAGTTTCACAAATGAGGTAACTCTTTCCCTTACTGTCGTTAATCGAATTTAAGATACCACTTTTGACTCTATTTTACTGTATCCCTCCAAGTGAAGATTAATTTTTTCAAACGGGTATTTTTTTTCTTCTCGTCATCTTTATCAAATTCATTGCCTTCGGAAATCATTTTTTTAATCCTGGATCCGCGCCTGTGTCAATTATCGTATTGCCTGTTATTGCCTTGATAATTCGATTTGTATGCCTCCTCTACAAAGTATCCGGAGACATTATACGTACTCGGGTTGTCCATCCGTCCGTCTTTATGTCGCCTTATCTCAGGAACCGATAGATGAATTCCCGCCAAACTTCAGTCATGTACTTATCTTGCAAATCCAATGAACCGATTACATTTTGGGGTCACGAGGTCAAAGGTTAGAGATCACACAGCTCATTATGTATGCAAAAAGAGCTCGTGATCGCGTTCTCAGGAACCGATTTGATGGATTACCGCCAAACCTGAGTCATGTATTTGCTTATATTTTAGGGTCATGAGATCAAAGATCAAAGGGTAATACATGTATATAAACAATAGCTTGTAATCGCGATATTCAGAGAACATTGTTAATGGATTAATACCATTAAACTTGAATTTTAGAAATTGGTTCTGTTTTTGTTTGTAAACTCGCTTAATGGCAGAGGCATCATTTTCGACTGTGCGCAGTCGAAGATCCCTCTAATGTTTATTTTTTCATATTTTTCTTCAATTCTTCTTTAATTGCTTTTATTTTTATTTTCTTAGAGATTATCTACTTGGATTATGGAGCAGACATTGATGAACAATTTACTTTTCAATCTAACTTACTGGCTTGGGGGTGCGTTGACGTCAAGTCATGTATTCCGATTGGCGACGGGCATCTATACACAACGATACGGGTAGGTTTATTATTATTAATTTTATTATCATTATCATTATTACTATTACTAGTATCATATTTCTAGTACTACTAGTTGTATTGATGATTTGGTTTATCAGTCCCTTGGAATTAATGAAAATTGCAGTGAACACTGGATCTCTCCTCCCTGTAGAACTGATTGGGATAAGCAGATGGACAACCATAAAGGGGTTTCCCCTACTTTTTTACGAATAATGCAGTGTTAATTAAGGCCCGGTCACACAGCCCTCCACGGGCGTATCGCGGCCGAATCACGGCCAAAAATTTCTGCCCGTGAAGCAGACGCTGTTGGACGCTTTGAGGTCGCGATAAAGACGCGATACAGCCGTACTTTACCCGTCGTTACACGCGGTAAGAAATTCACACGCGGTTGGCCGCGCGAAAAAGTTTTGGGCTGCCCAAAAATTTAGACCGCGGGTAATCGCGGGCGGTACACGTGGTACACACGCGGTAAAGACGCGGTACAGACGCGGAACGAACGTGCTAGGACGTGCTACGGCCGCGGTTAAGACGTGGTTACACGCGGTAGGACGCGAAATTTTAGCGGGTAATCGCGGGTGGAGCACGGTCATAGCACGTTTGTTCCGCGTCTGTACCGCGTTGTTATCACGTGCATTAGCGTGTGTACCGCGTGTAAGCACGGAGCGGTTATGATTTCTACAGCCCGGTTCGGCTGCTTTATTATACCCGTGGTAGGCCGCGGTACCGCCGCGCTTCACCCGCGATAAGGACGCGGAACAGTCGCCGGCGTCTGTTCCGCGGGCATACCACGGGTAAACCGCGGGTAAGCCAATTTTGCACATTTTCCACCACGGGCAACCGCGGGCGAAAAAAAAATCGCGAAATTTTACCCGCGATACAGACGCGAAAGGCTGTGTGACCGGGCCTTTAAAGGGTGACTAAATTACCCATTCATGTCGATTTTTGTTGATCTGTGATAATGTTTACTGTATATCACATATCTTTTTACTTTTTGATGTACATTTTTATCTTGGGTTTTATATTATTTTGGGGAGCCACGCAGGAAATGTGTTACAAAGAACTTATATTGATTGATTATTTTGTTCAAGTAAACCATTCATCCAATGTGATTTGGAAACTGTGCCCGTGAACTTTTTCTCGGGGCACAATACAGCTTTCGAGATCGCCTTGGGAAATAGTTTTAACCATGTCCCTAAAGCATTTGTGTAATATAACAGTATCCATGATTGCTTAGAATCTTGAACCAAATATCTCTTTGATTATCTGATATGCATGTAGTTCACATCTACTGGCATGATCGAGTTCTCCAACGACAAATGTTCGATAGACAAGTCTCTGGTTCGTTACACAAACCCATCTCTATTCACTACAACTGATGGAGATGCGTCAGTCGCTGTCCTAGGAGCTGCAGTGGACCTCAGCATTGGTGATCCCAAAATATTTTATCAGGTATGATTTGAGTAAACATTGAAAAATATATTTACCAATAACCTTTAGAACAAATGTAAACTGTTATATATGGGCTAAAAATAAGAAGGGGGATGAAGAAAATAAAGAATAACACAAAACTATTCACACAGATTCCAAGTCGGAATTGAGAGCGTACTTGCAAAATCTCTTGACAGAAGTACTGTTTAGAACTTATATTTTGAATATATAACGAAATGGAACTACAAACATACACAAAAAATATTCTTGTAGTGATAAGTAAACTTGAAGATTGTTTTACTTCCATGTGAAAGCAAAATCAGTTTGTAATATCATTCCTGTGAAGAAGATACATTAGATCGAACGGTCTTAATTTAATATATCAATTTTGGGGGAAATAATGATGATGATCATGATAACAATGATAATGTTGATATTAAAAGACGCTGGTTGATAGTAAAATATGATGGTTGATGATTATCATAATGATATTGATGGTGGATTGAATGCCATTACACTGCTTTAGTGTCTCAATACTTTAACATATAATTTTTAATATTTTTTTATTACATTCTACAATGTCTTTACAGTATTTATATCGATGTCTACTTCTCATTTATAGTTGCTGCTATACTTTTGATCCTAAAGCAAGCATTTGAGTGGTTTAGAGAAACTTTTGTTCAAAGAGTTTGAATAAAATTACTAAACAGTTCATAGTTTAACGAAACTGAAACAAGGACAAGTTCAACGACATACCACTGAAGTACGTGCTAATTATAATACTCACATTTCATTTGGATGTCGGTGAACTGGTATTTATGACAAATCTGTGAAACACTGCCCGGTCTATTCCGGTATATGTGATATATGTGTATCATGGGTGTGACCAAAGTTTGCGGATAAAAATAAAATGTGACATTCGATCCATGATATCTCATATTTTACACAAATTCATTTCAGTAGTTATTACCAAATGGACTGCAAAGTTTTTGACTTCACATTGGTGCAACTCCAACATTTACTGTCTAAGAATTATGGAGATATCGCATTCTCGAAATTTGATGTCGGATCGGCATGTCCTGCAACTGACGAAAATGTCATTGGTTACAGATTTGCAAGGGTAAATGTGGCCACCGCAATTCCGATTTTGACTTTCTTGCATCTGTTATAGTTGACCCTAGATATTTGAATGGATTAACGGTATCAAGCGATTCTCTTTCAATCTTAACAGTTACATTCACACAAGAACCCATCTTACGGGTCTTGCTTTTATCTGAACTGATTTTCATGCCAAGATTACTTTTTTGTAATCTTGTAAGGGAACTTACTCTCCAAAAAATCAAGTGCTAATTTTAGCACCTCAAGATTTGGAGGCAGCACCTGTAAGGGAACGCATAGCGACTGCCCAAATTGTGCTAAAGTAGCACTTGTGCACGTGCTATAATTCAACACCAGTCCAAGTGCTACTTTACACACTTTAAGTGTAAGCCTTGTTACACTTCTGGTGCTATTAGATGCATGCAGCTCGCAAAAACCACACTTCTAGTGTATTAAATAACCCCTTTTAGAGTCCACAAAACGGCACTACTAGTGCTAACACTTTTGCACCTAATATAGTGCAAAAGAACACACACGAACAGCATGCACAAAATGACACCTGTAGTGCTGAAAACTCACCCTTCTGTTAAACAGCCCAAACATTATTTTCAGCCTACTTTAAGCACCTAAAACATACCCCTAAAGACGCCACAGTTTTTACTGTTACATTGAGATTGCACATTTATATGCCAATTACATGCAGTGGTAGTCTTGCTATGTAGAATGTTGGAAATGGTATCATCATGCACAAGCATAATTATTAGGCAATGAAAAGAATACCTTCTCAGATCCCCGCTCTTTTATAGCCGAGTGGTGACCTATCTCATTTGAATTTTAAATTACTTTGCATTTCTTTTGTGTGAAGCACTGCCTTAGCACCTGGAATATGCACACACATTCAATACACTTTCTGTGTACATAGTACACAATCTCCTTCCTACTTACATTCTCCAAAAAGATGAATACCTTCTCAGATCCCCGCTCTTTTATAGCCGAGTGGCGACCTATCTCATTTAAATTTTCTTTTGTGTGAAGCACTGCTTTAGCACCTTGAACGCTGGTGCGCCTGCGTATAGAGCGCCAGCACTACCGGTGTTTCTTCAAGTGCTAAAACAGGCAGGGTCACACTTCGGGTGCAATTTCTCGAATAGCACGTGTTTCCAACACTCATTTTTCTGCTCGTCATCGCTTCCCAAACGCTGCATGCACGCCAAGGGCTACACTTGGCACGTGTGGTGCATATTTGTACCCAGCACCCGTGATTCAGCACTTCATTTTTTAGAGTGTATATGGTATTCCAAAAATTAGGTCGATGTCATCGGCAAATCTCAGATTGATATAATCCACCTTTGCTGATTGAGATTCTGTAATGATATGTTCCAAGAATATATTGAACATGGTTGGTGAAATTAAACAACTTTGCCTGATGCCATTATTGGTAGCAAACCAATCGCTATATAATAAGCTCATCTTCATGTAAGCCTTCAGAGTGTAAACGTGTAAAATATCAGAATGTGATGTTTCATCCAAGATTTTTCTTTTTTAATGTAATATTAAAGTTCTTTATTTCTATTCACATATATATAACTATTTTTCTAGCTTCAAGATGAGTATGACTTCTCAGATAACAACGGAGGATCCCTTCTTCAAGCCTTAAAGAGCAGACTAAACAGGGCAGACTCCGAACTGAGTGAAACGAATCCAATAGTAGCGTTGAAGATCACTTGGGAAGGTATCCAGCCGCCTGGATCACAACCGGGAGAGGAGGTAAGATTAGAAACATGTACCACAGGCGACGTAGTGTCACTTTCTTTTGACTTTGTTTACGCATGATATTTGGAAATTCAGAGAAAATACATGCTTGAATAATAAGTCAAATTCGTTTCACTCAAACATGGTTCTTGTGGTTCGGCTAGCAATCACGTTTATAGAAATTGCTATACCGGTATGTTGACCAGGGGCGTCGCCAAAGGGGGGGGGGGGGGTGTGGGGGCGGGGGGTGCGACACCCCCCCCCCCCCCCACCTGTCAGGATATTGTCGGTAAAATTGCGCTGCCGTCGGGAAAAAGAGGAAAGGGGGAGGGAATAAAAGAGAGGGGGGAAAGAGAGGGGGGAAAAAGAGAGGGAAAAAAGAGAGGGAAAGGAAAAGAAAAGAAAAAAAGAAAAGGAAAAAGAAAAGAAAGAAAAGAAAAGAAAGGAAAGAAAAGAGAAGAAAGAAAGAGAAAAAAGAAAAAGAGGGAGGAGAGGAAAGAAAGGAAAAGAAAGAAAAGGAAAAAAAGAAAAAAAAGTGAAAGGGAAACAATAGAAACGGGGGGTGAAAGAGAGGAGAGAGAGGGGAGGTAAGAGTCTGAGAGTGGGAGTAAAAGAGAGAAGGGGGTTGTTGGGTGGAGTCGTCTCGTCGAGGGAGCAAGAAAGACACGGGTAAATATGTTGCTATGTCGGGTCAGCTTTGTCGGTATTCTTGCTCGATCCTCGTGTACTATATCAATGCAGAAGTTTGAAGTCGGTGAGATGTATATTGTCGGTCGACCGACAATATACATCTTTCCCTACGAACTGTGACTTCTTATTCGCTGTGACGACTTCGCGAGTAACTACAACTACAATACTTGTATTTTCTCGAAGTTTCACTTTCCTATAATATTAGCTAAAGAAATCAGAAGTTTAAAACTTTCGAGGAAACTAAATTCAAACAAGGTTTTAGAGTCAACAACGGTACGACGAATCGTCTTCCTTTCTTTTGTGATGAAAAGCCAAAAATTCCGCGCTTCGCGCGGAAGGGGAAACTTCATTTAGACGAGTCGAAACAGTACAACGAATTGTCTTCCTTCTCTAATAATTTAAGGAAACGTCAAAGCTTCCGCGCTTCGCGCGAGAGGGGAAAACTGAGATCAGACAAAATTAATAGGGCTTATTTAGAGTCGAAAACGGTACAACGAATCGTGATCTTTCTCTAATAATATGAGGAAACGTCAAAGCTTTCGCGCTTCGCGCGTGAAGGGGAAACTGAATACAGATGAATAGGGCTTTTTAAGATTCGAAAACGGTACGACGAATCGTCTTCTTTCTTTATATTGTGATGAAACGCCAAAAATTTCGCGCTTCGCGCGGAAGGGGAAACTTCATTTAGACGAGTCGAGAACGGTACAACGAATCGTCTTCTTCTCTAATAATTTAAGAAACCGTCATAGCTTCCGCGCTTCGCGCAAGAGGGGAAACTGAATTCAGACAAAATTAATAGGGCTTATTTAGAGTCGAAAACGGTACAACAAGTCGTGATCTTTCTCTAATAACATGAGGAAACGTCAAAGCTTTGAGGGGGAAACTGAATTCAGATGAAAAGGGCTTATTAAGAGTCGAAAACGACGAATCGTCTTCTTTCTCTAATAATTAAATGAAACGACAAAACTTCCGCGCTTCGCGCGGGAGGGGGAAGCTTCATTCAGATAAGGATTAAGTGTAAAGAACAGTACACCGAATCGTCTGATGTTCTCATAATTCAACGAAACGTCAAAGCTTCCACACTTCGCGCGGGAGGGGGAGAAACTGAATACAACCAAGGATAAACAGTCGAGAACGGTACGGCAAATCGTCTTTTTTTAGTAATAATTTAATTTAAAAAAAAACGTCAAAGCTTTCGCGCTTCGCGCGGGAGGGGGGGGGGGGAACTTCATTCAGCCAAGGATTAACAGTCGAAAACGGTAAAATTAATCGTCTTCCTTTCTCTATATTGTGATAAAACGTCTAAGCTTCACCGATCACCCCCCCCCCCCCTAATGAGCCCAAGTACTATAGATAGTCCATAGGAAAAACAATTTAGCCTTCGGCCCCAGGTTCATAGGGTTGAATTTGTAGATTTTGTCGGTAATTGGTGGCTAGTTTTGTCGGTAATCGTTGGCCTCTACACCCCCCCCCCCCCCCCCCACTGAAAAAGGTCTAGCGACGCCCATGATGCTGACCTCTATCAATAATCCCAGATTTTCATTCAGTTTCCCCTATAGTTTAAGTGAGTCATCCACTGGGCGAGGTCTTGGTGTTTGGTCTTTTCCTGTGCCATATTGTAGAGGTTGACCGTTTGTAAGAGTGATAAAGAACAATTATCAAACCCGCTTCTGGGACTTCGAGCCTCACGCGCCCTCTCTCTCTCTCTCTGCATTCGTAACCCGGAATAACGTCACTGACGAAATAATACTCTCTCTCCTAATTGTCTCTACTTCCCTCCCAACCGTATCAGATAATCCTATATGAGACAAAACCAAATGAGTATTGCTCCCTCTCTTTCTTTTTCGTTTCTATATCCTTTCAAACCAAATAATCTATTTCAGGAATACCCAGCCACACGGTGTAACAAGAAACGTACTGAATGCTAATTTTCTCCTTTATCAGAACCCCACCTTCTCTTTAATCATTTTTAACGCAGTAAATGACTTTCTCTTTTACTAAAATGCTCAAGTTTAATCTGATTTTCCATGGGATAAACTGTGTCTAGTATATATATACCGATTACCCTGCTGTGGTTAAGATATATATGGTTCGCAGTTCAAGTCCCTCCCCACTAATAATTTCCTTTGGCAATATATTTATCTGCATTTGTCACTCTCCATCCAGGTGTAGTAAATAGGTACCTGGTAGGAATTATTGTTGAATGTTTTTAGCGCCTGAGGGCAGCTAGACTGTAACCAGAGTAATCATAGTACATTGCAGGCGCATTGAGCACCCCCAGAATAAGTACCTGCGCAAAATAAATGCAGCTATTATCATTATTATTTATTACATAGACAAACACCTACCAGGCTGTGGTATTCACCGACGGCAAACAGACAGGTGTAATGATGAATTACCAGGCAGGGGACCTTCAATGGCTGACTCAATCAAAACCATTACCAGCACGAGTGGGATACAGTAACATTGACGATGTAATGAATCTGTATGAAGATACTGATCAGGACACTATTTATAATAGTTATCGACGAGACTTGGTCACTGGAAATACGGGTCAGACGGTAAGCTGTTCTTATCTGTTTAGCACTTTCAGGACAAGGGTTTATTGAGGGCTTAATTGATCTCATAATATGTTCGTCAATTGGAAGCAAGGATATTTTATTTTATGCTACATTATGAAATGCTTTTTCTCTGATTGATACACTTTAAATAAACAACAAACCTGAGATGAATACGGAATACTGACAAATTGTGTCCCTTGTATCTTTGAAGAAGTCACATCTGATCCAGTTAGTTAAGTCTATGAAATATAGGAGTGTCCTTATCTTTATCACACTTTTATAAAATGCAGATTAACAATATATGTGTTTCACAATACTATATTTCGTGATGCTGTCAAGTCATACATGGAGTTATAGTTTGTGTGTTAATGATCGGTTTACTTTAAACTTGTTGTGTGATATTGGTACCTTCAGGGCAGCTACATTTATCGCCTAGACCTCAATGGTGCCGATTTTGTCAACCCATGTGTTGAGTGTCTGATCTGGTATGAAAATGACCTCAGCGTGACCTACAACTATCCTGATGCATCTGTGTGTCCTTGTTCAAGGAAACAAGCTGCAAGCGACGTAAACTTCAGAAGATGTACTTTCCCCAGGGGCAACGATCCCGATTTCAGTAGTGCCAGTTATAGTAAGTTCGAAAAATATCCCAAGATGACTGATATTTGCTATAAATATTGCCTCTTTGACTTCAAACATAAACAGCAATTGCTGCCTAGCATGATCAATTATTGTTTGCAACTTAATCCCCCCAAATTATATATCATTATTTAAAATAAGTGTGTAAATTATGCTGTTGAAATCGACATTCAATTTAATAACAACTAATATATTAAAGTCGTGCTGTGAGAGAACTGTTTTAGAAATTTTCTTTCAGCTTCGAATATCAAAGACATGAAGCTATATATTGATACATGACAGGTGTATCATTACTTAACTTTTGTTTATTTTCCAAAAGAGGAAATTATTTCAGTTTTTCATGTAAATGTTACTGATAACGGAAATTGACGTTAGGAGGATTTTAAAGTTCTTTTATCACATCCAAAAGCAAAATTTAACAAACAGTTTTGATGATATAAATTAAAACAACATTATTACAACCATCCTGGTGAAACTCTTTTTTAATATAGGATATCATTATTATAGTTATGGTCAAAAATAGAAAGGTGTAATGATTTATTTCAAAATTGGGGTTCATCTAAATGAACGTGGCTTTAGCCTTATTACTTGTACATCTTATCTATCCCTTTCCTAACCCATTCTCCGACACCTCCCACCCCCAATCCCTCCTAAAACCCCTTCCCCGTACCCTGCCCACCCTTCGCCCGCTTAGATTCAGTGAAATGCTTCCAGTCAACCACGGATGGTGATGAGGGTTTCCGCTGTAACTACATCAATAATGCTCTAGTCACAGACTACCAGAACCTATGGGAATCCAGCAATTTCCAGGCACTCTTACTTACCAGATCTCTAAGAAGAAATGACGCTTTGTATGATGAATGGAAAAGTAAGTTTCATGTATGTGTTTGCAAATATCAGCCTGTAGCAAATGTAAAGTTGTTAAAAATCCCCACTTTCATCATTCATCGAAATGCTGGGATATAGTCATCAAGCACTAGAGATCTGATCAGTCAGTGATCAGTCGTCAATCAATATGAGGCTCACATGTTTAAGACATACAGGGGTATGCCGCTCTAATGGTTTGGTTTTCCACCAAAAAATCCCCACTTTCATCATTCATCGAAATGCTGGGATATAGTCATCAAGCACTAGAGATCTGATCAGTCAGTGATCAGTCGTCAATCAATATGAGGTACTCACATGTTTAAGACATACAGGGATATGCCGCTCTAATGGTTTGGTTTTCCACCAAAGAATCCCTAAACATGGATTCCGTTTTCTATATTTAAAAAAAAAAAAAATTGCTTAAAGCTATGGTCACAAATCAGAGCAGCGATCGACCGACCGATCAGTAGCCTGCTCGGTCGCTGCTGGAATAAGGCATCGCCCAGCGATTAGGTCGGTGCCCGGGCGGCGACCGCCCAGGCACCGAGCGAATTTTGGGCGGTGAGTGAAAAGTGAGCAGGCGCCGCCCAAATTTTAACTCCGCGCTAAAACTTCAGCGGCGACCGAGCGATGCCCTAAAAACGAGCAGTGCCTGGGCGGCCGCCGCTCGGTGGCCGGGCAGCCGCCGGGCAAAATTGGTTAAAAACTCGCCGCTCGGCCGCCGAGCAGGCTACTTTTGGGTTTTGTGACCATAGCATAACATGGGTCCATTGTTCCACAATTGTCAGTGTTTGCAGGTAAAAAAAATGGCTTAAATTTTGAGAAAAATCATTACAAATTTGTATTTTTTTCTACCAAAATGACTAATGAAAATGGATACGGGTTTTGAGCTTGAGCGTCACACCCCCGTCCAAATAAAATCTGAGTACCCTCGCCCCCTCCATTCACGCTCTCTACATAGTACATTATACAAGTCACTCCTATATTCATATTATATGTATATACCGGTATATATAGATATGTGATAATCTAAATAAATGAATCACATGTGGCTGCCTTTCACCAATCATTTGGTTAACATAATAATTGAGCTGATATGCCTGGAGAAGCTCAATACATTGTAGTGCTAAGCATATTAACTTTCATGTATATATGTATTCTACATCATATTCAATTATTATACTGTTTGTGCGTCACATTAGCAAACAGTAAATACCAATCACCTTAAAGATAATTTGTGTCTAGCTACAATGTATACAATCAAACCTAAAAAAAAAACATCACCTGCATGCTATGGGCTAACAAAAAAGAAGTACAGTCAAGTGTATGAAGAAACTAAGCATAAAGCTGCTGACTATAGCTTTAGTCAGACTTGGGTTCAAGTTAATTGCGGGACGTGAATTTGTCACAGATTAGCTAGTGACGGTCGACTTAATACGGCTATATACAACGAATATACCACCACCTCATAATTATTCATGCTCTCAGTAATTAACCATTCTTCTCCAATAACCAAATGTTAGTACTGGTGTCTGATGATGTAATACAATTGTGATTTTAGATTCGGGTAAGGGTTCGGGTTATATTTGGGGTAAAAGATTTAGGGTTGAGGTTCAGCCTTAGAATTAAGAGTGGGTATCTGAACAAGCAATTAAAGACGATTCTATACGAGCAACTCAATTGCTCTACATCCTACAATATAAACAAAATAGCTTTTTATGCAGGTGCGTCGATCTTGATTAAGGTTGTGTCAATCTCTATTTTATAAAGTAATATTTGAAACCCATATTTTGAATATATATTATCAACACAAGGATTTACTGACATGCAGAACACATTTTTGATGATTGGTACACTGTAAAGGACTGCTTAATAATAAGTTATCCTGAAATCCGTTCAATGTTTTAGGTGAGGACGTTGTACCTAGACAAATGTGCTGTGAAAGGGCTATTCTGAGTGAGGGATATTGTGATCTTTATGAGGAGCGTCGCCCACAGGCAAGCTGTGAGGGATACAACCCTCCCAATAGTGGTGAGTTTTTTGTCTATTAAGACATCAATTACCCCATATAGCAGATCATTGTTTCTGTTTAGAAATTTTTGAAAAATATATTCTGATTCAGATTGCTTTTTGTAAATCAAGTATAGGAATTACGTACACATTAAACATGAGCAGAAATAGAAAATGCACAGCAAATTTTGAGTCAATTTCTAATGCAGTATAATACACTGTATTGCTCATAGATAAAGAGACAACTTAATTGTACATGGTCATTACAGTGTTGAGATTTTGATGGATACAACGAAAAAGCTAGCCTTTTAATAAAGACCGCATTTGGTAAATATCTCCCTTTTTTACTGGTCTTCATGAATTGGTTTCACTGTATAATTTTGTCTTTTAGTGGAGTATCCTTGTCATGCTGCCAGCTAGGGGCAAAACAGAAGTACTTTCCATCCAATTTTCAAAATTTCCCAAAACTTTGCATTACATTTAATATTAGTGGAGTCTGCTTAGTGTCATTAGTGTCCCTTTATAAAGGGACACTAAGTGTCATGCAGCCATAGCGCCATCTAGGGGCAAAACAATACCGCAACAATACTCGATAGAAATTAGAGGGTCTAGACTATATAACCCTGAATAAACCCATCAACCTAAAATTACTGGAATGATCATGTATCTCTCATCTTGGTCTTATTGTGTATGGAAGGCTACACTTTGATGGCGACGAGAAAGTCCTGAATGCGTTCACGTCATGCAGTTTTTGTGAGTTTTTATGTACTTTCCTGTGAAATCTGTGAGTAAGCCTGGCCCCACGCATTGATAACGGTGTCATGTTAGTCTGTCTCACTGTTTTGATAATTTAATGTTCATCATCATGGCGAGTATATCCTCCCACCTTTCGACCTACATGGGGAGAGTTCCTCCCTAGGTCTGCAATGGGAAAGCTGGGTGAGATTTGAAGGGGCAATTGGCAATGCCAATGGTAGCTTAAACAACGCTAGTAAAGACTGCTATGTATGACTCTGAGGAGGCGTAAGGCTTCTACATAGTAGAGTAAAGGAGGGGGTTTTCGGCCACTTAAGAAAAAAAATCCTATTTTTTGGACTCTTTACTTCCTATTTATTATCATTTCTTGTTCAAATCATGAAGCAAATACTATTATTATTTAAACAAAAAAAGAATCCCAGGAAAAAAAATCATGAATTACCATGACAATATTCAATTCCATTTTCGATGTTTCGGAGGTAGTTTTCGGCTTAGCGAGGCAATTTTCGGTCGCATGTACAAAGTCAAAAGGAAGCAAGCGGGCACGCCGTGCATTCCCCCGCTGATCTATAGCACTAGCGGCCGGAGCAGGTATCCCACGCCGGAGCTCGCCGTGCTGAAAACTACCTATGCGGTGATCAGAAATTGGAATCTGAATTACATGTAGTGTGTGCGCTGCGGTATCCAGCTGCATTGATTTAATACATGCCATGAGATACTTTTGAGCTTGCGACTGACACAAAATCGGGCTCAAAATCAGAAAAATACTTGAAATACATCTTGGCATCTTGGCATATTTTACACACCTATAAAGTTTGGGGATGCTGCCCCTAGTGTTCCGTCTTCTAACTGGCACATTTCTTGACGGATTTCTTTCAAATGTTGTATGGAGGTGTGTCTTGGTACAATCTACACATCTCTAGTGTTTGGTGATGCTGCCACCTGTGTTCCGTCTGTTATAGGGTCAAAGGTTATATTTTTGTGGCTGTCTTTTGTTCGCTCTAACTGCCACATTTCTTGACAGATTTCTTTCAAGTTTTCTACAGAGATGCATTAGTCTAATCTATACACATATTGTTTTGGTGATGCTGCTCCTAGTCTTGACAATAGTCTGAGCCACTAGTGGCAATCTCTACATCATTCTTTTGTTTCAGGGAGGGGAGAGGGGATCTTTGTCCCTCCTTCGATCATAAGGATGACACAAAATCGCTGCCACTGCCGGGGGATACATTCGCATTGCGCGGCAATACAGATTGCGATATTTCTAGTTATTATTATTATTATTCATATTACTATCGTTTTTACTTTTTGTTACCATTATTATTAATATTATTACAATTTTATTTCTCATCATTATTATCATTCTAGCTCAGGGAGCTGGTGACCCACACTTTTTAACCTTTGATGGGAGGATGTACAGCTTCAATGGGTTTGGCGAGTACATTATGATGCAATACAACAATAATGACCCATTTGTTCTCCAGACTCGTACCGGCGTAGCATTCAGGAATGGTGAACCTGTCAACACAGGGACCGTCTTTACAGGTTTTGCTGCGACACAAGGCATTACAAATGTGAGAATATTTTCTTCAGAAGTGTTCCTCTTAATCACTATATATGATAATAATAAAATTAATGATTATTAATAATAATACTTATGATAATCATAATAATAAATATAATAATAATAATAATAGTAATAATAATGGTTATAATGATTATTATATTAAATATTAATTATAATATTTAATAATGTCCCTTAAATGCGCCATCTGTCTAGTTTCTTTTCCTAAACGCATTGTAAAACATATTAAAGAAAGGAAAATTCAAGATTAAAAATTGTGTCCAAATTCTACACATTTAGGTACTGTATGCTTTCAAGAAAAGGACTGTCTTCAGGTTAGATTTTTAAAAGCAGTTACATAGTTCTTTACAATGATTGTGGTATTGTTGGGTTCTAGGACAATGACCTCCTGGACAATCACCCCCAGCCAGTTACGAACGGGACAATACACCCCCAAAGACAATTACCCCCTGGTAAATAACCCCTTCCCCAGAAAATTACCCCCTGAGAACAACCACCCTAGAGGACAAAAATTCCCCGGAAAATCCCCCCCCCCCTCCCCCCAAGGAAATTACTCCCCGAAAAATAAATGAATGATAATGAAGATGAAGATGATTGATTACATGAATTTTGGTATTTCTTTATAGGTATCATTTACTTTAAATGATGATAGAACAGAGCTGCTACTCTCGGTCAACCAGACGTCAGTCGATATAACATCTCTTGAAGCAGGTACTGCTGGTACATGTGATAGGACTGTTTATTACTAATGTATTTCGATATATTATGCATGTTTCTCTTTTTAGTTGTCAAGAGCAATTGTTTTTAAAAAGCATGCATAGAATTAGTAAACAGGCCTTTCACGGTACTATTGATTCGATTTAATTTCATCTATTGGATTCTGCATTTTTTTTTCTTTCTTTTTTACCAATATGGCTTGATACAATATTTCAAGTGTACATAATTTTATACAGATAATATATGAAATTAAACAAATATATTGAATGCATAATATCTGTTTTGATAGGAGGAGCCTTTCTCAAGTTTTAAAATGATATACATGCAGGGGGATTACATGCACTGTGGCCCGTACGACATGCACTGTATGATATTTATCCAATTTATTTCATCCCAAATGAACATTTCTTACTTTGACCGTTTACGACCGATTCTTTTGTGTACCAGTAACATTATCAGAAGTCATATCAAGAGACTATTCACTTGTGGATGAAATTGCTCTATAACAAATTCTTTCACGAGATCAATGTATTTCTTCATGCAGATGGCTACGATTCCGCTGATCCAACTTTCAACTTATACAGTGATGATGAGGCGGCAGAAAGTGAAACTGCTATCATCGTAACCTTCAAACTACCAGACATACCTAGCTCCGGACTTCGTGTGGTTTTCAGAACCGGGATATTACTAGGAAATAGTTTTGTTCCTCGAGAATACGCTACTGGAGGGATTGGAAATGGTCTATTCGGTTAGTAGTGTAATAATAATAAAAATGATAATAATAAAAATTACAAAAATTACATTATTAAAAATGATGAGGATAACAAGTATCATTATTATAAATTACTACATTTATTGTAACTATCATTATTATTATTATTATTATTATTATTATTAATAATGATAGTACTATCATTATTATATCATTAGTTTTGTCATCATTAATGTTATTATTTTAATTATTATCATTTTGTTTAGGCCTCATGAATGGTGATAAGAATGATGATTTCCAATACCGGGACGGAACCATCATCATGGATACAGCTGAGAAAAACCTGACAGAGAGAGAAATCTTTGATTTTGGACAAAGTTGTAAGTTACTTTCCTTCTTTTTAATGTTATCTGTGTGAATGGGTTTTGCTTGTTTCAACATTCTTCCAAAACCCAACAATATTTCCCAAATTCCTGTACTTGTTTCAGCATGTCTTACATATCACCATATGTTGTGTACTAAATTTGTGAACAATTTATTACTCTTTTTAATGATACAGATAATTCACAACATATATTCAATCTCACAAATGAAATTACAACAAAAAAATGAAATACATTTTCTTTGAGTACTTTGAATTTGTGTTACTCATTCAGATACTACTGTTTGATGCTTTAATTTTTAAAGATCTAGTACAAAATGTGCAATTTTCTCAAAAAGGTCTATTGAGTTGTCTTTATATACAGATTTCACTTTACCATTTATTTTGTATTTATTTCTTTTCTCTGAAGGGATGATCTCACCGAGTGAATCTCTTTTCGATTATGGTGATCGGGATTGGAGTCATTATAACGATCCTGACTACGTCCCTCCCTTCCTCTCAGAGCTGATTGCGGCAGACCCGGATTTGGCAGCAGAAGCTAAAGCGTTTTGCGGGGATAGTGAAGCATGCCTCTTTGATTCCCTAGCAGTTGATCCATCAGTTGGTTTAGATACATTGTCTTCTAATAATGCTTTTGAAATACAGCTATCGGATTTAAGTAAGTTACAGCTCGTAGTAATTTTCTTCCTCAAAAAACAAAATGAATACTTAGAAATAACAAATTTTTAAACACCCCCTCCTACCGTTAACGAAACATCATGCAAAATACACTGGTACAGTTTAAATATGTTTATGTAAAAAATGCGCTATGTATCACATCAAAACACACTTTAGAAATGAAATGATATTCTTCTTATTATTATCATTATTTTCATTAATATTTATTTTACTTTTATTGTTATCATTATTATTATTTTGATTATTATTAATATTATTAATGTTGTTATTATTTTGATTTCATTTAATTTATAGATAACTTCCCACCAAACATCACATCTGTCATTGAGACCAGTTTGACAGATGCACTGTCAGAGAGCGGTATACTGCGTGTAACTGTTGACCAAACAGTCACCTTACAAATAACAGCTTCAGATCCAAATGACGGAGATGTTGTCCAGTATTCATTGCAGGGTGTTCAGCCTGGCGCAACCATAGACCAAAGTATGTTGCAGTTTATTGTCGATTTTTAGTGACGTTTAATATTCATCTTTTAATCTAGTATGCTCTGATGACAATTACAAATCGGACATGAGCAGTAAAGCTTTGACGATAATGAAAAAGAATGATTTCATTGAAAAAATTGTTGAAGTCTCCAAATTGGTAGGAAGGAATTCCTTGAATGCTGTGAGCACAAAATATCGGGAGCCTAGAGGTAGCTAGAATCTTGGGTAATTTGTGAGCACATTAACCCCTATTAGGCCAGGGAGGGGGGCCATTATACCCCCCCCCCCCTCCACAAATGTTCACATTGTTCTGGAACCCCTGAGGATGACCAGCACTTAAATATTTAAATACATAAGTTAAAAAACAATGAAATGCATAATAAATTATCAAAGCAATAGATAACATAAGGAATAACCTGGCCTTTCCAAATTTTGTTGTATTATTATTCTAAATGGTCTAAAATATATTTAATGTATGTAATGAAAATTAATGTAAATATAATATGAAGAATTAATGATTTATTGTAAAAATGTGAATTGTATGACTTTATTTGCATAAATTACCATAATGCAGAATTTTTCAAAACCGTTTATTGGTTGCCTTTTTATCCACAGACTGCCAATGGGATTCTTACCCATGATCTGATGATGCACGTATTTCGCCTATATCTTTTCTTCTATTTCTTTTTCCAAAGAAATGGTTTATTTTGCTTTCTCTTTTTCACCATACAAAAAGGTCATCTGATGTTTTTTTCCTCCAGAATCCTTAACCCTAAAAGTGCTGGGGGGGGGGGGGGCTGATTTAGCCTGCCCCACTCCTCTACATTCACAATTACTATGTAATGCTTCAATATTTGATTGTGCCACTTCACGACTGTTTCCCTTAGAGTCTTGCGTGTCTTTATGGACACATTTTCAAAAATCGGACCTACCGTTACAAAGTCACATGACCTTTTGTCTTTGCATGTCAGCCCCCTAAATCCCTCATTTCCGCGATTAGGTATAAACATTGAAATATTATTTTTTCCTAAAAAGAGATAAACATTTGTTATTTGGTCTTGATATAATCTATACATGTACACTTTTGGGTGATGCTGTCCTCATTGTTCAGTCCTTTATAGGGTCAAATGTCTTTTATGCGCTCTAACTGCCACATGCATTTCTTGACAGATTTCTTTCATATTTTGTTCAAATTTTGTATGGAGGTGTCCTTTGTAAATTATACACATCTTCAGTGATAGGTGATGCTGTCTTTTGTGCGCTATAACTGCCACATTTCTTGACAGATATCTTTCAAATTTTCTATAGAGATGCATTATACTTTAATCTACCACATATATTGTTTTGTGATGCTGCTCCTAGCCGGCCTTGACGATAGTCCGAGCCACTATTATAACACTGAGTACTATACTAGTGGCAATCTCTACGTCATCCTTTTGTTTCATGCAGGGAGGGGAGAGGGGATCTTTGTCCCTTCTTGGAACATAAGGATGACACAAAAATTGCTGCCACTTCCAGAGGAATGATTCACATAGCGTGTCATACATTGTTGTTATTACATGTTTTTATTATTATATATTATTATTATTGCAATGACGACCTTCGTCATTGCCTTGTTTTCGTTCACGTTATTAATATTCTTACTTCTTCCTAGCGTCCGAAATCCTATTCGTTTTGCACGTAGTGCTTGTGGACCCTATCTAGATCCTTTACTCTTGCTCGATTCCTTTCAAACTTCGTAGGCGTAATCTCTGATATCCAATCTAGGTCACCTACTTTTTCGTTTTCTGAAATCACTCATGCGTAAACGTCCAGGCGCCATTTTGTCCGTTTCCGGTCCATTATAAGGCCTTTCTATCTTCCTGCCTATCTCCACTATCCTAGATCCTACAAACTTCTTACAAATCTCTCTAGATAGTCTAAGAGTTGTTCTTTAATCTGCGACGTATCACTTGACCTTCAAAATGCCATCTTCGTACTCAAAATTCACATCAGAAACCGACTCCGTCAAAAATCTCTAAAATTCTTGAAAAATGGACCCCTAAATAATCTAAAACTGCCATAACTTTCTCATATAAATTCCGTTTTGTATTTAAATCTCACAGTATCTTTATCTCATGATTGCACATAGCCATGCCAAATTTCACGCTCCAATGTCTATGCAAAACATAAATAGCGCCCTCTAAACTTCTGGGAATGGGATTTCTTTCTGTGGCCCTATCTCCATTTTGGCTTGGCAGACCCGTACCCTTTTTTGGATTTAGATACCTGAACATATGCCCTTTCCAGCCATATACAAAATTATATACCCTAACACTGACCGACTTTGCGAAAAATGCCCTCCAAATTCGCCATTTTCAAGAAAATTGAGAAATAACTTCAGATTGCTCTAAATTAGCGATCTTTATACCTACATCAATGAAACTTGGCAGACACATATATCCATATACGTGACAACTGTCTGCCAAGTTGAATAAAGTTTAATGCCCTCTTCGCAAAGTTATCGCCAAAAATGATGAATTTGCTGTGCATTACGTAATAGCGCGTTGAATACGTGCAGTACATTGCGCGCAGATGACGATGGTGTCAAACTGACCGCAATGAAGTGCCCTTTCGAATGATACCAAGTATGGTATATGTTCACACAGACAATTTTGAGTAAATCACATTTGAACAAGGGTACCTATACGAATTCCCCCGAGTTTCCACCCAATTATAACACATATCGGCTATAATGTCATTTTTTCAGACTACTTTTCGCCCCCTAAACGTCCTTTTCTTTCCTTGAAAATTTGCAGTGACATTCCGAGTTGCAATACGCAGGGCACCTCGTGGCCGGATTTTTGAAATTGGTCAAGGGGGCCATTTAAGACGCCATTTTGTCCTATAAATCTCTTTTACATCACGTGTTTCGATAGGATCATCATAGACAAAAAAAAGAGTGGTTCACAATAACAACCATGAAATTCTCTTTCCAATGATACCAAATACGGCCCATAAAGAGACATAAAGAGAGAGAGAAAAAACAATTTAACTCCCGTCATAATACAGATCCTGTACGTTTTCCACCCATGCATTACACGCATTGTCTATGGGGCAAATCGGGTTCACGCTTAGTGACCCCCAGAACGATCTTTGTTGCAATGACCAACATGCACCAAATCCCATTGGTTTTTGCACGCAGTGCTTGTGAGCCCTTTCTATGTTCTTTCCCCTATCCCAATTTCTTTCAAACTTCGTAGGTGTAGTCAATACCATCCCATCAAGGTCACTGTTGAGGCCTTTCTTTCGCCCCACCTATCTCAAGTAACACAGAAGCTACAGACTTCGTACAAATTGCTCTGGATAGTCCAAGAAAAGCTCTTTCGTTTGACATGTAGAAACATGGCGTCATTGCACGCACATCGTTGAGATACGATTGCATTTCTAGTCATTATATTCTTTGACTGTTGCAGATACTGGATTGTTCACGTGGACTCCTCCAAGCTTAGATGTTTCTATGATTGAGATCGTAGCAACCGATGATTTTGGAGCGAGTACATTACTAGCTTACAAGGTCAGAGTGTGTCAGTGTTCTAATGATGGAGTATGCAACTTTGACAACTTAGCAGCAAATCAGGATCTCAACAACAATGGCTTTACCGTGAGTAGAAATATTGAATTACTGGACAAATATTAACAAAAGCATATAAACAATCATTCACTGTTAGTAGCAGCAAACTTAGATCTTGAAAATATGAATGTATTTTTTGGCATTTCGAAATAATTTTAAAAATCACACAAATAGGTCTATACATATTTTCTTTTTAACGCAGCTTGTGATTTCTATTGGTGTACCAATACAGATGTTTCTTCTGTATGATCTAAACAACTTTGTCAATGTTTTCTCAAGCAAGTAATTTGCATAATCGCTTTGCCCTATTTGCCCTATTTTTACAGCAACACTTTCATTTCACAAAAATAAATTACTGAAGAATTCCATATCTCCTTGCATAACACAGTCACGGAGACTCACAAATAATCACCTCACTGCTCTTTTTAGAAATCATGTTCAAATTAGGTAACATCCATTGTAATGTTTTGCACATTTATCAAAAGGTGGCACAAAAGCAATTGAAATTACCTTGAGTTTATTTCCAGATTCCTTTGTGACTGTGTTTTTCCAAAATACAGATTATGGTGTTGTACAAATCGTAAGTGGAAAATAGCTAGAAGTACTGTCAGAATGTTCTTAGCACTTCTATTCATACATGATATTTCAATTTTGTTATTCTTGCTTTTGTTTGATTTGTATAAAACGTTTCTTAACTAATTAGCCATCCATTGCTTGTTTTATAATTTGTTTTCATAAGATAAAGATCATCTACTTTTTTATGGCTTTGATATGTACTGTTTATATATATGTTTGTTATCCATTTTAAATTATAGTAAATATGATATTACACTCAGTAAAAACAAGAAAGTGGACACTATTACCATTATTGTTAAGATTCTAAAATAAGTATTTAATATTAACCTAGCTTTCATTAATTAAAATAAACATAAAATTAAACCTCTTTAAAATTATATACATTTATAATTATACCAGTCATGCATGAGTGAGCAAAAACAATTAACAATAAATGAGTCGCTGAATGAAAATGTAAAAAAAAATGGGCATCTGGTCATTCAAATTGTTATCAGTTAGGATCTTAGGTGAAAAGGGAGGGTATCTTGACTGTGCTTGCCAAACCATGCAAAGTTCAAATATTTATTTTCTTGTTAATAAAACATCAATGGATTGAATTTAATGACTGTGTTACAGGTTGTCACATGTACATGCGAGGTTGGCTGGTCAGGTGATCACTGTGGTGTAGACTTCGACTCTTGTCAACGTTCCCCTTGTTACGAAGGTGTTTTCTGCTCTGACTTGCCGCCACCTTCAGTTATGCCGATGTGTGGACCATGCCCACCGTCTCTTACAGGAGATGGATTAACTTGCTTTGGTATGCCTTTGTTTACCAAGTAACAATAATTTTTAAAATAAATATCATGATACCAATTAAGATAATAATAATAATTACAACAGTTGAAATGTAGTCATTTATAGTGAGCAACATTTTCACCCAGATGGTGCTCAAGCCTCTGAAAATAAAAAGATTGATGACAAAGATAACCTAAAGGTGCTTAAAATAAAACAAAACAACACATTCAGGAGAAAACACTTGTTAATAAAGTGTTTTTAGTATTCTCTTAAAGTCATCTATGATTTTCAACTACATCATGATACTATATCAAACTGTACTGATTATCATAGTGCGACATGTACATTTGTCGTTTTTTAATTCATAACCCAACTCCTTTCTGTGTGTAGTTTTCAGCAATTTGCCAGTACATTTCTTGTTGTTTTGATGATTCTAAAACATCACTGCATGCAATATTTATTATATATTACTTTATTGACTGTTCACCTTTGTTTCTAAACAGTTTCTTCCATAATGTACTTGTAACTGCATGACCAGAACTCAACTTCATCTTTCAGTATCGATTTTAGCCCCCAAATTGTCATGGAACGGACAGTTTATTGTGTGCTTTTAGATGACATTGTTTTATACCGATTTTTGTCTAGATGTTGATGAGTGTGCAAATGACACACTTAATGAATGTGATCAGAACTGTGATAACAGACTTAATGGATATGATTGCACGTGTAATGATGGCTTTACACTTGATATGGATCAAAGAAGGTGTAATGGTAAGTATCTTTTGATTATAATGATAATAATAGTAAGGTGGTCTTTAAGATATACAGCCTACCTGATAATGATAATAATAATGATAATAATAGTATCAATAATACATTATACTGATAAAAATAATGATGATAATGATAATAATAATAACAGTAATAATTTAGAGAATCCAATGACTATGGTAATAATAATTACAATGTAAGGTGCTTAGAAACATTTTAGTAAGCGTTTTACAAATGTGAATATTGTTATGTTTATGTCAATTTATGTTCACAGTTACATAATGCAATTCACTGAAACTTGTTTAACTTATAGGATATGCTATACATTAGACTGTCCCTTCATATAAAGCATAATTTCAACGCAATGAATCACCACATTATATTTTGTGACAGTACAAGTACAGTAATAACTATATTATTTATATATAGTCCTTGTAAATTTGATGTTTTTATGTTTTTTTCGTAACTCAAGAATGAAAGTTGGACTGATTGTACTAGGGCTATTGTTGAATATTTGTCGAAAATGCTTAATATGTCCCATTATCAAAAAATATATAAATCTTGACAAATTGCAAAATGTTGTAAGGATATGAACAATTTAATTTCTTTAATTATTATGACATGTATTCATTTAGTCCTGATTTTGAAGATCAAAATTTCTACAAAAGTTTCAAAGTAAGTGTTCACCTAAGATGAATAAATAAATGCTAAAACAAACAAACCTGAAAAATGCCGCGTTTCACAGCTTCACATCTGAAAGAGGTTTCAGTCACATGTCGGGTTAATATGAGTTGTATCGGAAATTGAAATATTTATTTATTTACAGATATCAACGAATGCATATTGGGTACACACGGTTGCCAAAACAACAGTCTTTGTAATAATACCATCGGTTCCTATCAGTGCTATTGTGAAGTCGGATTTTCTCCAATTACAAATGATAACGTCAATTGTGAAGGTCAGTAATGTCAACTATAATGATGATGATGATGATATGAATAGTGAAAAAGTAAGAGTAATGATAAGAATCATGATAATCATCATTACAATGGTTATGATAATTTTGGTTATAATAATAATCATAACAATCATAATAATAAACGTAATAATAATAATAATGATAAGAACAATAATGATTTTTAAAAGCACACCAATGATTAGGTTCACGTTCACCAAAAGGCAGAAAAGCTAGCACATGGTAGTACATGTAGCTGCACTACGTTATACAAATATTGAATGCTCCAGAGTTCAGTATAACACAATGTATGAAAAGACAAATTCCTGAGTGATGTTATGCATGCTGACGTTGAAATAGAATTGCACTTGGGAAATTCTGGCTTATAATATATATATTTTATATAGAACGATATGCATTCAATATGTGTTGCATACAAGTATAAGGGTATTTGAGATCTCATACCTTGGGGGGTTTGTTCAAGCCATCAAGCTTTCCATGTCAGATCTATGCGGCTAAGGCAGTACAAACAATTGGTATGCACATACTTAGATATATGCGGTATGACGTACATTTTATTATGCAAAAAGAGGCTGTATTTTGCATATTTGGTCACGTATAACAAATTGCCATGTGATTGCTTCTCAGCCAATAAGATGCTCTCTAACAAACACCCGATTTTGTAAAAAAATTAATTGTGATGATGATGATAATGATGATAATTAAGCTTATGATTGTCTTTATTCCCAGATATTGATGAATGCACGGTGGAGAGCCAATGCGATGCGGAAGCAACGTGTGGAAACAATGAAGGCTCTTTCATATGCACGTGCAATGAGGGTTACGTAGGAGATGGAACCACTTGTACAGGTACAGTACCGCCCATGATAAACTTCCACATTTGCGCGGGCAGAAGGCGGGTGGATATGTATTGACCACGCTCAGTATTGTTTGGTCGCGATTCACACACAAAGCCATTAATTCCTTGCACTGTTTGACAAGGTTGCCCCTATTGGTGAGCATGCTTGCACAAAACACTTAACTGTGGTCAGGTATATGCAATCTGTATGAATAGACTGTCTAAAGCCCACTGCATACTGTACAATCTTGCATCTGTGGAAAAGAGGAAGAGAAGAGGAATGGGGTTAGGATAATCTGGCATTGGTGGGAAAGATGAAGAGTAGGAGATGGGTGGTTGGATAATCTGGCATTGGTTGGAAAGATGAAGAGTAGGAGATGGGTGGTTGGATAATCTGGCATTGGTTGGAAAGATGAAGAGTAGGAGATGGGTGGTTGGATAATCTGGCATTGGTTGGAAAGATGAAGAGTAGGAGATGGGTGGTTGGATAATCTGGCATTGGTTGGAAAGAGGAAATGTAGAGGAACGGGGGTTGAAATTTAGTGCTCATTACACCCCCCCCCCCCCCCCCACTGAGCAAAATATCGGTAGACCGATTTTTCAAATTTTCTGGGGCAAAAATGAAAGACAAATTGTGCTCACCACTACCCTGACCTAGCTGTCACCTTCTATTTCTTTTCTCTATTCAAGATATGAATGAATGTCTGGACGAATCTCTAAATGACTGCGCCTCACAGTCGACTTGTGATAATTCACCTGGTAGTTTCTCATGTGCTTGTGATGGAGGCTGGGTCGGCAACGGTACCTACTGTGAGGATGCTAATGAGTGCTCCACTAACGACGATGATTGCAGTGATGATGCGACGTGTGAGAATAATCCTGGGAGCTACCTCTGCACCTGTAATGCAGGATATGTTGGAAATGGAATCGAATGCTTTGGTAAGTCAGGAAGGTCTTCACGGTTATAATATTAAACTATGTGCTCATTCAGATGTGACCTGCTAAGCCACCGCAGTCTTTTTACATCTAAATGAATGGCAACTGCGTTCAATAAATATTCTCATGAAAATGCCTCTGTGTAGAAAATTCATGGGAACAAAGTGGGTCATGTGTGAGTGTGTCAGGTGGGTCAAAAAGAAGCGGTACAGTAAATGGAAACACCCCCCCCCCCCCCAACAGACCATGGACCATCTACTGACTGTGTCATGCTGGCTGACACATGCACTGGGAGGGACCTGGCAGAGGCCAACTACATGGCTCGTACCTTTTATATTTTCAATTTTCAGTTGTAACTGTTGAAATACAATTATTCGGAACAAGCTAATGAAATGATTACATAACATTATAACAAAAATAGTCTATTTGGTCACAGGTGGGCGAGCTAGGTGGGTATAATGCAACAATGGTCCTACGTGTACTCCATATTTCTGTGTGTTATAAGGATTACAAACAGTGAAAGTCGGTATGCTTCCGTATGCACAAAATGTTTAGCACTTTACAGAGCGTTTGCGAATAAGCCTGTGCAAATGAAATCTCTGGTTACAAAATACCTCTTTTAAAGATGTTCAAGCTTGAGTATATAGAGGGCAGCACACAGAACCTGCCATAATCTCCTGAATGAAACTCAGTGTTTACATTGGCGCAGTTTGGGAGTACCGCACGTAATACCATAATAATCGTACATAATGCAGTCATATGAAGTCTGCATGAACATTTGCAGTGTACGTACAGTGCATACAAAGTGAAATATCATGTACACGTATGTTGCATGCTTGCTAAGCAAGATCTAGCAACGCCCGGACATTGACCATATTTTGAAAATATAATCTTAATGAGTTTCCATCAAATATCAAATAAAACTTGCAAGATTAAATTGTAAATAAACATGTTTACAGAACTATAATAATGTGCATTTTAAAATGTATTCAATTAATCACATATCAATAAATTTGATATTTTAAAGCTAAATTACAAACAGTTGTTCGAAATTACACAATCCCTTGTGTAAAAAATTTGCACGATGGCATAGGTATCGCACGTCTGTGTATTGTCCTCTATATACCCATGCTTGAGCAACTTTAAGCCTGAAGTGACTTTTTTTGCAATATCTTGTCATTCTACTTTTTGCGTAAAAATTTTACTCACAAAATAAATTGACATATGCTTTGATATTTCTATCTAGATATCGACGAGTGTGCCTCTGAAGATGATAACTGTACTATGTCAGCTCTGTGTGTCAACACAAACGGATTGTTTGAGTGTCAGTGTGCCGACGGCTACAGAAAAAGTCTACAGGGAGAATGTGAAGGTGAAGAAAATACTCTCTTACATCAATGATTCTCAAAATTACAGCCCATAACAACTTCTGTTTTGCCCAAAAGATATAATGATTATGCAATACAATAATGACATTATATATTTTATTATGCCTTAGCAAATCTTTACATGTAAAAAGATTCTTCACAAGTCATGAGTTTGACAACAAAAAAGGTGGTGCTGTACACATGTTGGTTCCATCCTAGAGTAAAATTTTCTTCAAAACCATATTGCTGATACAAACAATTTTGGTAGCATTTTCGAAGTTGAGTTACAATGTAATTTTCTTGCTAATTATTAAAGTTATATATTCACAATTAGTGTTACAGCATTTTGAAGTTGGAACACCAGGGGTGGAGAAGGAAGCGGTGCTGCCCATACAATTTTAGTGGTGAAATTGAGAATTTTGTGCAATGTTGAAAGCCCTTGTAAATTTTGGTCAAAACTTGACATATGTCTACAATGTTGGTATCAAATCTTAGCTAACCAACTTTGTATTACCGTCTTATAATTAAAAGGTTAGTTTGGCTAGTAAATGGTAATGTCTGAAACTGAAATAATGAGAATTCAAATCATACATTTGTGCTGTCTGTACATAATTCAATGGGCAATTTTAATTTTTGAGTAATTGTGGGAAAGTTTTAATATTTCGGTCAAAATTTGGTACATGACTACAAATTTGGTACCAAATCTATCTATTGAAATCCATCTTACTGTCTTATGTATGTAAAGTATGTTAGACTTTAAAATTACTAGTGACGCAACACTTAATATATGACTATTCGTTTAAAGACTACCTCACTATAAAGACCGCTTTTCTTGTCTCCATTGAGCGGTCTTTATATACAGGTGTGTAATTGGGTTTTTTACCTACGTTTATCAAATCAATCAGATATAATGATTAATGTCTGGGGACCGACCTTTGGCATCACTATCTGAAAGACGTAACGGTTTTCACTGTAATGCATTATCTATCTTTATCTAGATGCGAATGAATGTGACGATGACCCTAATTGTGATATGGACGCACAGTGTGTGAATACTAATGGATCATTTGTCTGCTCATGTAACGAAGGATTTCAAGGAAATGGATTCGCATGTGAAGGTAGTTATAAACACCTATATGTACATGTAGCTATCACAAATTCTATATTCTTATAAATTATGGAAAAACCTAGATAGTCATGGAAAAATAATTAATTATGATAAGTTATGGAAAGTCATGGACATTGATAATAGGTGTGAGCCATGTGATGCTATGGCAGCCTTCCAGTTTGAACTGACAATGGGCGTGGTATTTGTACATCCCTTGGATGCCACAACCCAAACCGAAATGGTACCTATCTAGTTATGGAAAGAGGTACAAATAAGTCCATGAAAGAAAAACTCATTAAAAAATTGAAGAAAATTGCCAAAACCTTGTACACATATTCATGTAGAAATGCCGTGCAACTTTGTCCATTGAAGCCATTTCCACTGTTGTATTTTTGCACCCTTAACTCAATCACCAAAACATTTTTTGTTGTGACGGAAGGGGTACCCTGTTGTACTGGATTCAAAATATGAGGTCCAAATATTTGTTTTACAAAGAGATACAAAGAAAATAGACTAGTCGATGCATGTATCTGTGTTCGCATAGAACAAGCGTAGACGTACTTGCGTTCCGTGATAGGTGCTTGAAGTTATCCTTTGTTTTCTTCAAACTTCTTAGCCGCTAACCCATAGAATACCACGTAGGTTTTTTAGGGTGACGTCACATACTCTAGCTATACACAAATTGCATTTGGAGATGATTGGTGCACTTCAATCATGAGACAAACTATCAACCAATCATGGTCTATATGTGGCCCATATCGCATCACCATTCAAGTCAGAGCAGTACTATTTTAATTTATTTCCAGGCAGAGATAACCAAAAAACATACAGAGACAAATAATGTAGATTGTATAATGATACTATGAATGATATTTATATTAATATTACTGCTATCATTATAATTGTTTTTTAATGTTATTATTGGTAAGAAGAAATTTATTGAGTGCTTGTGCGCCTTAATCATGGAAGCTTGGCTAAAGCCGGGGTGTATTATATGATTGCAGGTCCCTTAAGGAGAACAGTGTAAATACTGATGAGGCTACCCTTGGTAAAATAAGACATATTATTAACATAAAAAAATTATTATTACTTTATGTTTGTTAACTGTCATTGTTATTCTTATTGTTCTTGCTATTCTATTTTCACAGATATCGATGAATGTACATTGGGAACTCACGATTGTCAGCAGAGCTGCATTAATGACAGTCCTGGGTTCAACTGCAGTTGTTTTTCAGGCTTTATTCTTATGAATGATAACAAGACATGCATGGGTATGTATTTCCTTTTGTTAACCCTTTGAAATCCCCCTCCCTCATTTTGTGGTTTGACGTGCTGGACAGCTCTTGATTCAGAGCTGTAACGAGTATACCACATGCATGATAAGAAGGGAAACTAAATTATGCACACCATGTGCCCATTTTAATTTTAGTTGAAGTTTGAAGTGTATTTGTTCCCCATTTACTTTTAAAAAAACTTTTTTTTTTGTTCATACAAGTGTATTAGGGTAGATTGCAACAAAAAAATAAAGATTTCAAATCAAGTATACATGTACAGAAAATAGAAGTTTCAAAATATATAGATATGACAGGCAAGGTAATACAATGTACAATGTAGGAAGCCTTAATAAAGAGCATAGCTTGTAATAAAGTGAATAGGCTCGCATACTGAGTTACACAATATAGTAGGTCTGAATTAAAAAGGTATTATAGGAGTCGAAAACGTTGTAGTTTAGTATGCATGATCATTTGCATTCGATATCACAGATTTTAGGAGGGCAAGTATGCATTATAATTCATAAATTAGCAACACATGTTACGTTTTGTTATCAAAATTTGAAATTTTCCCAACTTTTGGACAAATTCCCTTCTCACATACTGCATATCGTTTCCAGAGACACTGCATTGCATTGAAAATATAGCATTAAAAGAAAAATTAAGTTGTTGTTGCCGATTTGAAAAACCGTATATGATCAATCGGGCCCTTAAATATGCCTTCCTGAAAAGAAAAACCCAAAATAATTGAGTGGGAGGTCATCCCCACCTTACACTCTAGCAGTAGCAAAGCTCCTGTAATAGTCAATTGGAATATCGCTACAAACTACCAAAATGACTCAATATTCCAACGTATATGATCTGATGCGGTTGTTGTTTTAGTTTTAATGGTGCGTGTCATTCAATTGTGATATTAATGCAACTCTATTCGCAAAAAATAATATAATGATATGCTACCCACAATATCTTTTTAAGTGACTACCCCAATGTAGAAGGCAGTTAACTGACGAGCCTGACATAAATTAAGATTTTGTCAATATTCACTGACCAACTTGACAATTTCATATTGAAACAGATGTAGCGATTTTATATGTCAAATATTCATATTTTTCTTATTCCGATTTATTTCAAACTTTTACCTTTTTTTTTCTTAGTTTTCTGTTTTCATAGAAATACAAATATTACAAAGGTTGGCTTTCCCTTTAACTGGGATCAATTAGGCTTTTGTGCAGACACAATTTCTTAAGGTGTCAACACTCTCAACCGAGGTATCCTAGCAACGAATGCGGGGCTGATAATGATAGCAGTTGTGGCTACCCAATACTGTAATATTTTTCATCTGAAATTCTTTAATATGAATATTGCAGTTACTGAAAGTTGTGACCTCGAATGTGGCTCTGGTGTCTGCATTAATTCTACGGACGGGGAAATCTGTGTATGCGATCAGACTGGATATGAATTCAATTCAACTATAAACAACTGCACAGGTATGAAAAATACCAACCTATTTTGTCCTTATATATTGCCGGCCATATGTAAGTATTTATTAAAGCCTATCTGCACTAGTTTGGCTAGGAGGGATTAAACCTCCCTGCTTGATCACTGACAGATGGTTATGTCATCAAATCAGCTCTCAATTACTTAAGAAAAAGGGGACCGTGGGGGAACAACGTGTCGCTTAGGCATTGTTTGTTATATAGAGGGCGCAAGTAGCTACAAGTAGTGCAGTCCCGCTGTAAGGTATTAGCCATACTAGATCTAAGATAAGACTATTTGTGAAGTAAAATGACATGGGTAATGCAAGTGACAATGGATTGTATGTTCTGAACTCCACAATACTTGAAAACATATATAGGGCTCCAAGTAAGCAGATACTTGCCTGTGTATACACATATATTCTACTTCTAAAAAGTCCTAGTGCAAGGATTGGCTACAGATGGCTCACGTATAATACTTCCACCTTGAAGCCCAAAATGGGGTTTGCATGGCGTCAACCGGGGTAAAGCCTTTTATATTACTGTTCCAAGCCATCGATAGGCCTGTCATGATATTGCCACTGCAGCCACTGTGAAATGGGCTGCACTTTTTTGTGAGCTTAGTATGTGCTCGTTTTGACTAATTAGGTATAAGTGGATATTTATTTTCAGATGCATTTCTAAATAGCTAACACTTTTAATTTTTCATTTGTTAATGAGGGATATATATCGAAATACCATGCACTCTTTTTGAGGCACCAATACAGTAAAAGATTTTGGTTAAATGGCATGGTGACTATTTTCTTTTGGGCCATACCCCTGAGAAAAAACTGCTTTGCCCATCACCTCAGAGAAGACATATTTTCAACTGGAGTTCATGGTATAACATGTGACAAAAGCTTGTTGCAAAAATATTGTGTATCATCTTTCTGTTACGGTTGTTCTAATTATTTGTTGTTCACTTCTTATATATGTGCAACTCATTAATCAAATTATTTGTTTGAGAGCTGTCAAGTGTGATTCATTTTATTGAAACTCTGGCACAATTTTCCATTAAAAGGCATCTGATAGTTCCCATTACATCCAAATATCAACAAAATCAAAAATTTGGGATTCGTTATTGAGCAGCTGCCGGATTGGTATCTTTTGAATATACATGTACATTGTATTATTAAATTTTATGTTTTAATTTTGTTCTACGGTTAATAGCAAAATTTAATGTGATTCAATATCTGTGTTTATTTATCCCTCTTATTTCCCACAGACGTCAATGAATGCCTTGGGGAGAATCGTTGCGAAATGGACTGCGATAACATCCCAGGAGGATACGACTGTTCCTGTGTAACGGGCTTCTTGCTCGATGTAAACGGAAGAAGTTGTTCAGGTAGGCCTTGATTGTATTATTCCTTTATGTAAATTCCATGAAATTGGGGCCCAAAATGTGACAATATCCAGGTAAAACTGTTGTTATGAAATAAACTAATACACATGGAAGATGAAATCATTCTTTTTTATCAAATGACTATGCGCTGCCAGAACAATTCTGTTTAAGTTGCATCTCTTCAATTTTTTTGTTAAATATGCATTTCTTTTTTTATTAATGTTACATAGACATCACATTTATAAAACATTAACACCCCCCCCCCCCCACCTCGGTACTTATATTTGGCCTTATGATATTGATTCATTGTGAAGCTAAAGTACACTCTTCTTGTAAACATAGTGAGCTATACTTTTTATGCTAAACTCAATTTGGGCGAAAAATTGTAAAGTTCATTGGAGACATGGTTTCTCACTTTTGGCACATACAAATTAAAATTATGATAAAATACATGCAGTTCCAAATGGCAAGGAAATTGATTCACGCACTGAGAAGTGCATTATGCTGTTTAGTTATACTAGTTGAACTCCACAAGTCTAATCCATTATCATATTGTGCCTTAACCTGCGTACAGTGTTTATTTACTATGCACATGCGCACTCGAATTATTTGTATAATTACGGCTAAACACATATTTGTTTATATTAGTATATAGTACTCATCTTCAGGTTCAATATCTGTTATTATCGCTTTATATGCCACACAAATATTCTCCTTGTGCCACATAGTATTTAGCATGGGGTAGATAAACAAAAGAGTTTAAGATTATTTAACTGTTTTCAGTGCAAGATTATTTAAGTGTTGTTTATGGAGCTATTCGACCCTGGAAATGGGAAATTGTGCAAAGCCTGGATTGTTTTGGACACACATGTAGCAATCCATATATCAATTGGTCCCTATTCGTTTGTGCAAAGTTGCATGTGTGGCAAATGAATGACTGTTCATAGAGACAAAGAAAGCAACCCAACTGTTAAAATAGCCCGGGCTAAATAGGGTTAAGATAAGTTTGTTATGGAGGTTTTGACAATGGTTTCGCACCACAGCTTAAATCAAAACACCCTTGATTTTTTCAGAAGAGTGCATATTATTCAAGCACAGTGATGGCAGTTGTTCTAAAGCCGGAGTAATAATAACGGAGTGCCTGGAGTGGCAATGTGCCAGACAGGAATGATCTGCAATATTTCACTTGAATTCATTCCATCATGTTTATATGACTTAGTACTCGGATGATTAGAAGCGTTGATCGATTTTGTTTTTCTTTATATTATTTTAGATCGGGATGAATGTCTTGATGGTACTCAAGATTGTGATACCAATGCTGCATGTTCCAATACAGAAGGGTCCTTCTCCTGTTCATGCAATGATGGCTACACGGGAAATGGAGCAATGTGTACAAGTAAGGCACTTAATTTCAACCTCACTTTATTGGTCAAACTTTTGAAAGGAAAGAGACATATTAGTCCAGGAGAAAAACAAATTATTGGTAGATGCAGGCATGAGAAAGATTTTAAATATCGGACAAAAGTTTAGCATAAATATCATTGAAAAAAATGAAGAAAAGAAATTGATTTAGAAATAGAAATAATATTAATGTATTTTTTCTCTCCTATCCCATTCAAGTTCTTCTCCAGCTGACATGGAAACAAACTACACAAAATTATTTTCTTTTATTCTTTTAGGCATAATTTTTTTTATTTTTTATTTTTGGCCCACAACCAGACTTTAAATAAAATAAAGCACACAATTACCCCAATACTATCATAATTTATTTTATTAAGTGATTGTATAACATTATTTTACAAGAATGTGGAGTAGACCCGACTTTGAGGTAAGTTAAAGAGCCCAATACAGCACAAATATTGAACTTTGTAGGAGATTTGGGTTGTCTGTCCGTCCGTCCAAATGAACTTCCAGTGAAATCCCTAACCTGCTGCTGCATTGATTCAGCCATCAAAACTTAATCATCTGCAAACGACATTTCCATAGCACATCTTTATTTCCTGGTTCCAATAAAAAAAATCGACCACAGTAGCGAGCAGCAGTGGAGATAAGACTGATCCCTGACGAACACCCACTCCGATATGAAAAACTCTGAGAGTACCCACTTCCACATCTCACTCTTTGTTCTTTTTTTATGCTGTGTGTACTCCTCATATAGATACCGATGAGTGCCTTTCTACGTCCCCATGCCACGTCTTCGCGAATTGCATGGATACAAATGGCTCTTTCAATTGTATGTGTATGCCAGGTTTCTCTGGTAATGGCTTCAGCTGTGTAGGTACGACATTTCAGATTTTTTTATTTTCTAATTCCTTTGAAAAAAGTACACATTTTAACATATTAAATGCAAATACATACAAATGTAAAGACATTATGCGAGAAATGAGTAATATATGAGAGGGAAAAAAAAAGATTCCACAGAATGTGCGCGGAAATGCTCTAGTGATTGGAAACCTGTCATATAAACTGACTTTGTTGAAATTAACTTCCGTATACGATGATGTTGTCTACATGTAGTATGCTGCTCCTTTCGCTGTATAATAATACTTGATAGTTTATACAACATTTCTTAATGAAATTTTCGTTTATTTTTCCTGTAGTGTGTACATGCTATAAGAATTAATCCATCCAAATTTTCACTTTCTTTAAAAGATAATAATGAGTGTGATCAATCTCCTTGTGATGAGAATGCTGCATGCAACAACACAGATGGGTCCTTCTCATGTACCTGTCTTGAAGGTTATACTGGGAATGGTCTAAGTTGCTCAAGTAAGTAGATACAATATTTAAGAACAAATATCTCTCTCTTTCCCCCTCTCCGGATTCATTCCTAGGTTCACCAGCCTTTTTCAGGCATTTACTCACAAAAGAATACCTCTCTCTCCTTTTACCTCACAACTTCTCTCCTTTTACTTCCATCTCAACAATTTCAAGTAGTCCTCAATAGGACTAAACACAAAAGAACAGTTTACTCTCCTATAACTGCTCTCAATCTCTTTGTAGTCGCATATATTAAGACAAAGATGTCTATATCAATACAAGATTATGGTTATTATTTTAATTTTACTCTTGTATAATATCTTGAATGTATTCTGTTTTTTATCATTTAATATTTAACGTCTCAATGTAGCTTTTTGTTGTAACAATTGTTACATTTGACAAACCATGTCAAATCAATTGACATTTTTAATCTGCATTTTCAATGGATATGTGCTGAGGATGAATGTATTACATTGATGAAATTTTCATTTCATTTACTTATTGAATTATTTTATGTATTCAAATCATGTCAAAAAGTCTATGAATATAAATATTAAAGTAACAATGAACTTGATTTATCAATTAATCATATAGTGTTTATACTCTTTTTAATCTCCTCTTTATTGCTGTCAATAATTCTTGTCTGTCAGTAATAGACCGGTTTGATAATGAATATAAATTTGTGCAGAACCCCTGGTTAATAGTTATTTAAGTCAGGGCCTATGTACGGCTATACTGTAGATGGAATCCAATGTGCATACATTATTTGTTGCCATGACTGGCAAGCCTATGGCAATCATCTGATTTGTCAGCATAAAATTAGCAAACAGCTCTATTGATGAACAGAGCATGTATACATGTATGTATGTGTGTGTGTATGTATAACATCATAATAGGCTTAATTTCAGTGAAACCTGCTTTTTCATAGTGACCACCTGAATAGAAAGGACATATACAGAAAACCAAATCATCGTGACATCAGCTCCTGCTCTGCTGAAGTCTCCACTCATAACAATTAGGAAAAAAAGATCTTCTTTCAAAACTTTAAAGAAATCCATTTAGACCTATCTTGTCATGCACTCAGTATTTATATCTTTCTGGATTATGATTATGTTATCCAAGTTTATAATATAAAACGCCTAGAGAATTTAATTGTAATTATTATGCACAATGAATGTAAATGATTGTAACGTTCAGTCATCTTTCCAGCCAAGATTAACAGAAAGTGTCTCAGATTTTCTGTGATGTTTTAACCAATCTTTACTCAATAAAAGGATAAGGTAAGAATTCTTGGTAGATTTTTTTTTCTTCAATTGGCATTTAAAAGACATATCGACTGCTTTAATATTCGAGGTCTGGCTCACAAGAAATTGCACATCTTGCCATGACCCAGAGGCTTGCCTGGGTGGGCGGCGCACCGAGGGGTCATGGCAAGATGTGCAATTTCTTGTGAGCCAGACCTCGAATATTAAAGCAGTCGATATGTCTTTTAAATGCCAATTGAAGAAAAAAAAATCTACCAAGAATTCTTACCTTATCCTTTTATTGGCAAGCCTCTGGGTCATGGCAAGATGTGTGCGTGTTCTCTTGAGCCTATTTAACAGCCAGGCCTCTCAAAGCATTCAATATCTCTATACAAGAACCTACCGGTATACATAAAAACCAAGTTGTTTACATGTAAAGATCGCTTTTCTTGAGTAGTCTTTGTAGACAGGTCTCACTGTATGATGTTCATATTGTCATTTAATGTAGATATCAATGAGTGTGAAGTAGACCCGCCGTGTGGTGTGTATGCTGACTGTTCAGACAATGAAGGTTCGTTCACATGTTCCTGTCTGCCTGGTTTTCAAGGTGATCCCTACGCGGCATGTACCGATATCATTGAGTGTCAGAACCCATCCTTGTTCACATGTCATCAACTAGCGTCTTGTGTGAATACTCTTGGAAACTATTCGTGCGAATGCAACAATGGTTACGAGGGAGATGGGATATCCTGCTCAGGTATGGATCATTAAGATTATATTAATGACAATAACGATAAGATAAGAAGAAGAAACAAAGAAAAATAAGGATAATTATAATTATAATAATGACAATAGTAATATTAATAAAAATGATGATGATAATATTCATAGTGATAATTATAATGACATTAATGGTAATAATAATAATGATATACTTATAATGATGGTAATGGCAATGATAATGTTGATAATAACAATTATAATACAAAAAATGATGATTATGATAATAGCTCAATAAAATGACTTGAATCCCATTACGAACATGTAGTTCACAAATACATTTTGAAACATAACCTTCTCAAAACTAAGAATAACAAGCTTTGTACGTCCAAAAATAATCTGTAATCGATATTGTATCCTTTCTTTTCCCATCCAATGTATGTCTATGGATATGTAGATCAAGATGAATGCAGTGATGTCCTTCAATTCTGTGGACCAAACAGTAACTGCTCCAACTCGGTTGGCTCTTATGAATGCATGTGCTCCGAAGGTTACGTGAGGGAGAATATGGATAGCAATTGTACAGGTATGGTATCTTTTTACTGGTATGGTAAATAACAAACATAATATCGTATATGAATCACATATTAAGTATGGAATTCATATGAATACATATGAATTAACTCTGTTTTTCACAATTTGTTCTACTTGTTGACAACTTTCCTACCTATGTATATCGTTTGCGCATCTTTAAACAATTTTTTTTTAAATCAGGCGTACAGTTACAAAGTCACATGATCTTTTGTCTTCGCATGTCAACCCAACAATTGCTCATTTTTGTGATTTGTGTACAAAATATATGGAAATGTCATATTTCCTAAAAAAGAGATAAAACATTGGTTATTGGGTCTTGTTTAAAGTTTAGGTGTTTGTTTTAGGAGTCAAAGTAGTTAAATTGTAGTTAGAAATACAACAACAAAAAAATTACAAAAGTTGAAAAAACAATGAAATACATAAAAAATTATCAAAACAGGAGATAACATAAGGAATAATCTAGCTCTTCCAAATTGGTTGTCATATTATTGTTTCAAATGGTCTAACAAATACATGTAGTGAAAAAGAAATGCTTAAATATAAAGAATATATGATTTATGGGTAAAAAGGTGAATTTTATGACATTTGCATAAATTACCATACATATGCAAATGTGTGAATTTAAAAAAAAAAAAAAATTACCACAGTATTCTATACACTTCACTTGACATGCATGCACATTTTTGCAGCGATCGAGATCTTAGGGTGGGGGCATAATGCACCCCCCCCCCCCCCCCCCGGGCCATATTAAGACCTCAAATAGCCCAGCAATTTTCAGGGTTAAAGGGCATAGATAATCTCTAGTAGTAAAACTACCCATCATTCTTGGGAATACAATAGAAAACAGGAAAACCACAAAATAAATGGATGATGCTGACAGAGAAAATATTAGTAGTTTGAAGGGAAGACTACAGAGGCTCTGTATTATTCCCCATAAAAATCAAATTGTTATTATTATCATTATTAATATTGTTATTAATATCATTCCTGACAGATTTTAATGAATGTGACAACGTTCAAAACACCTGTCCTCCGGATATCTCTTCGTGCGTGAACACAGATGGTGATTTCATGTGTACATGTGCTTCTGGGTACCAGAATGATTCACCCAAGACCTGCAATGGTAAATGATATGGAATTACTATGTTTTTGTATTATCATTGTAAATAAGGAGGACGCTCGGGGAAAATTAGAATAAGTGGAGGGAGGGAGCCTCATCATGGCGCGAAAGTCAGTAATCCCTCGTAAGAGGGAAAATACTGACCTTGGTCAATGATGATGTACAGTATAAACGAGAAGGTCCCTTAGTTCTTGCTGTGCTGTCTGCAAATACATGTGACAGAGACACTACATGTACATTTACAGTTAACAACTAAATTATTCATCCCTTACAAAGTAAAGTATAAAGTTTTGTGATGTTATAAGTATGTGAAAAAAATGATTAATTTGGCAGTTATTTAAAAGCATTTTCAATCAAGCATACTGCATGTACATGTCCAGTATAATTATGATCGCCAATCTGTATCACTGCCGGTGCTAGAATATGAATCAAGCATTCTAAATATCAAAGAGTTATTATATACCACTAGATGTACATTTATATACATTGTTTGAGAAAATACCAAATTTATTTAGGATCTTTTCTCATTTTACCTTTAAGCAATGCTTAAATGAGTGAGGAACAGAAACGTAAAGGACTACCAAAAATCTCATTTATACTTTACAATAATTTTCTAATATGAAATTGAATATACCTGTATTAGGAACTGTTGCTATTATTAGACAAGGTAAACAAAGTCCCTACAACTTCTGTACACATAACAGGATAATTATAGGTGTTCAAAATTACCCCATTGCTTTACGGGGAACAGTTGTATAAACTCTCTTCAGAGGCAACAGGTAAAGCATTGTCTTTCTTTTTGTAAAATCTTGATACCAGCAATTATTCCAATGTCCAGTCTTGGAGTGTAAGACACTGAAGAATTGTATAGCTATACAAATACTGCATTGTTTACATATCTGTACAGGGCTTAGAATCATCATCGGGGTATTAAGCTATATGCAAACCACACATATCATTATTTTTATTACTATTATGAATGGCGGTCCTTATGAATAGCGAGGTAAATTGCCTATGGTTTGCTCGCTATTTATATATTGTCACACGTTATAGTTAATGGTCCTTATGAATAATGGTCCTTATAGATAGCAAAACTTGATCAATTATTTGTTTTACCCACTATCTAGACACAAATGAGTGCGCAGAAAGTACTCGTGTCTGTAGCGACAGTCGAGAATGCATCAACACTGTGGGAGACTTCAGGTGTATCTGCACTGAGGGCTTTGCTGAAATTGAAGGAAGCTGTGAAGGTAACGCAATCTCATCGGCCAATATGAATTAATGATACTCTTAGATTTGGGTAGCTTGGGTTGATATGGCTTATTTTTACCAGGGGACCGACCGCTTTTAGTCCTCTCCTAGGGACTTTGTAATGAGGATTCAGGCCTTTGATACCACTGAGCCATTTGCCTCCTTGCAAGTTGTGACTTTTGAGCTTTAATGTGAATGGGGATGAACAAGATAATCACAGATAATCTCACTGTAAAGCTGTTCATTTAATTTCCATTTAACCCTACATAGCCCTGGGGGAAGGGGGCTTAATAAGCATCAATTACCATAAATATGCAAATGAGTGAATTTTTCTGAAAAATTGAAATTACCATAGTATTCTTTACACTTCACCTGACATGCATGAAAGTGTTCACGCTTTAAAGGAAGGAGCCAACTCCCCCCCACCCCCCCCCCCCTCCCGCATTCTGGGCTATGCAGTTTCAAAATAGCCCTGGCTATAAAGGGTCAAACCAACATGATATATGCTTGTGGACTTCCCCTTCAAGTAATTACAAGAACTAATGATAAACAAACTTTTATTTTTTAATCATATTTTAGCGTCCTTAACCTTGCAACTGAGGGTAAGATTTGAAGCCATTCTCGGTGCCTTAATTGCTGCCAATCCATCTATTATCGAATCTGCTACAAATCAAGAGCAACTTGAACGTGACGTAAGTCAATTCCATATGTACTCATTATTGATTAACCCTTACTGTACTGGGCTATTTTGAGCAGCCTCTGACTGGGGGGGGGCCTGGGAGGCCCCCCCCCCTATGATCTCGGCCGTCGATTGTCAGATGAACACGAAAATTTGCATGTTTGTAGATATTTACGTAAGGAACAAGATGGTATAATTAGTTTTTTCCGAATATGCAAATTTTTGTTGTTAGCCTAATTAATTATGCAAAATGCGCTAATTTTATGCATTTTACAGAAAACGTGTCAAACTCCACTTTTTGAATGTTGAAACTCATTATTCATATGAAACTTCTTTTCTAACACAAAAAGTTATTTTAATGGAATTAATAATGATAATTTATGCAAATTTTGATGCGATTTTTAATTTTTTTTTTTTTTTTTTTGATGACATGCGCATACTAATTGTTATGTAACGCCTTAAGGGTATATCCGATTTCGACGAAAATGGTATCAAAATGTGCGTAAGACTCGAGGGAAAAAAGTCATGAAACGACAATTCAAAATTCCAAGCGGTTGCGGCGCAATCTCCGAAAATGTCGAGGGGGGGCCTCCCAGGCCCCCCCCCCCAGTACAGTAAGGGTTAAACAGTAAGTCTGTTCCACATTCATTTTGTTTGTTAAGTGTACCAATCACCTGAAACCGTAATTTGTCTACAGCTAGAATGCATATAATCAACATTAAATCAACCTAACCCGGTATTCTATAGGCAAGCAGATTAGAAGTATGAACAAAATGTTTTCTTTTGATGATGTTGTGGTTGTCATTGTAGTTTGCCAAGGCATACAAATATTGAACGTGTATACAGGTCATGCAAGTTTGTACAGACAATGCATATTTGTTTAAAATAACTTAATTTGTTACATTATTTGAATGAAAGCGACTCTAGAATTCATGTTTCTGATTTAGTCTCTGTCTTAGAATAGATTTAATTTTTTTAATCATTTCTGTGTGTGAAATCATTACAAAATGTGATATATATGTGATGTATGCAAAATTTGAAATAAACTGAAACTGGAAATAGAGAATAGATCAAACTGTATGCGGCCTCTATTGTATCATAACTTGTACATGTGCATCACCAGTCACTTTTATGTTTATTGAGAGTGATTATAAACTAGAAAAAAATATTTTCAGAACCAATAATTGAAGCTCATACTTTGAATAATATAGTGAGATGGAAAATAGTTTTGGGGGATTGTTATTACACTTTAGATACACCTGTATATATTGTGCCTTGTCATGTGCATTCACAGGCGACAAGAATAAAAATTAAACACCACCTCTGGAAAGAAAGAGATGTTTTGTTACACCTTCACTTAGATTTAATTGCCATACCTCCTGGAATTGTCTCCCTGCTCAAGTCACAGAAGTAAAGTCCTTTTTAAAAGTAGGCTGAACAAAAAAATAAGACTGACATCTTTTTGAAGATTAACTCTGATTTCCCCCAAAATTCACCCTCCTAAAAACAGTACTGATTGATCTAGTTAAAATCATAATGATAATAATGGTTTCATATTACAGAAGAGAATATGGGCTTACGTGGTTATCTTGGTGAAAATACGTCTAAATCACACATTTTTCACAAGAAAGTAAAGGTCTCCCCATTCCCCCTCCCTGGAAAATTTTGTTTTTGACTTTTGAAGAACATGCAGTTTGATGTGAATGTGTGTCATTTTATCTTTAGATGCTGATGTTTCTCCAAGGCATTTCAGAACTTGGGGACTCTGTTTTCATGGCTACAATATCAGATGTAAATGTGACCGGTCCCTATGCTGTCATAGACTTCAGGACAGATGTTGAAACAACACTAAATATCAACGACACAGTATTGGAATCATTGTTCAACATTGCTATACTAGATAACCGGCGCTTTGGAGTTTCAGGAGCCGAAAATATAGTCAACCAAGAGGGTAAGGACGGCATAACGACACATAAGCATGAGTTTTCCTTGGGAATTGACACCATTTGGGTATTTCCCCTAATATTAGAGAGGGACGGGAATTTCTTTTTGGCACATCAAATCCGCTGTGTGCGATACTTCTGCCCAAATGAATGCTACTTCCGCAAAGTCTGTGTCAGATGTAGCATTTATGACATACTACTTATAGAAACTGCAGACCATATCTCTTTAAAGGGCAGTCCAACTTTTGCAATTAGATTTGGAACATGAAGCAGAAAAGTAAGAGAAACACAATGGTGAAAGTATGAGGTAAATTGAAACAATAAGAAGAAATACAGTAGGCTTGCGGGTGCCCCATGTGAGAGAGAGGGAGGATTGAGGAGTCCTGAAAAGGACTCTCGGTAATCTTTCTTGAGGATTTGTAGTCCTGAAAAGGACTGTTGGTTATCTTTCTTAGCTTATAGTTCTAAGGAGAACTATAGCGCTTGGAGAGGATGAGTGGCGGGAGTGGCTCGACATTTCAAACAGGTTGACTATCCGTCGTCAGGAGTGGAGAATAGCTGGCGTGCGTGAGCTTAAGTCACCAGGGTGCGGATGTCGGGGAAAAATACATGACCGTGCGGGCTTGAGTCATCGGGGAGTGGACATGGATGGTCAAAGTTATAAGTGTTTGAAATATGAGATCACTACATCCTTGCACATCACAATTGGGCAGTCTGGTTAGTGGCTTGTAAGAAATATATTGTACTCAAATTGAAGTTTCCATGAAAGCAAATACATTTTCATTGTTACATGTACTTAATTTACATGGAAATTATACATAATTTACGGCCAAATAATGTGTGGAGGGAAAGGGAATAATGTTGGAATACTGTAAACTGCAAAAGATTATAAACCTGAACATGATAATATGTTTTATATTGTTGTTTTATTTCTTGCTGCAGATGTTGATGAATGTGCCGATGATCCAGTCCCGTGTACTAACGGAATGTGCACTAACACCATTGGGTCTTTCTTCTGTACTTGCAATGACGGATATATTGAAAACGGAGCAAGAACTGGTTGTAATGGTATGTGAAAGGGAATGTTGTAACAAAGAAAAACATGCATAAACATATCCCTTTGGTATTAATATTCATTAAGACACGTTTATCAAGGCTATACCCAAGGGAAACAGGAAATTGGCTGTAGACACTTGGTCTTTCTAGACCGATTCTTTAACACATACTATTATTATGTTGCTTTGGTTAATGTAAAAGCACATCAAACAAGCAGCTCGCAGTTTGAAAATTTTCAAGTTACAAACAAATTTAGAATATATGAAACAAAAAATATATTGTAAGTTAACTTTTCCAGAAATTATATAGCATTGATCAGATAAATCGAAATTGCAAAACGAAATAATTTGTTTAATGTAGTAAACTAGTAAAACACTTTTATGTTGAAAGACCAAGATTGTGAAAAGGAGAGCATGGAGAAGAAAAAATGGAAAGTTGTTTTGAGCGAAAGAGTTCAGAAAGCATTTAACAATGGATATAAACATTTCTATTACACAAATTGAAATTAAGCATAAAAATATGTATTGGAAGAGATAAAATTAAACCGTAATAATTCTGTTTTTCACTTATAAATGTAAACACAGCGTTCATCTAAATCAAGAAAGTTGCTCATAAAATTAGACTGAGTATTTGAATAACAATATTGGGTAATTTTGTATAAGATATTGCACATTATATTTGAGAAAGAAGCCCAAATTAAATATTTGGCAAGGGCATAAAATTGCAGTAACAATTGAACACTAATGTATTAATGAAACAACGGATCAAAATGTGTTTACAGTGTAATGTAATCTGAGATTAAATTGAATAAAAATGTATGTAGCAAACGGTTATTATAGCGGTTTGTTTAAAACCAAACATCTACTGATATGCATGAAAAAACGAAAGTTGTATGTCTAAGCAAATCAGAGTTCAAAAGGTATTTAACAATGGCTATTGCTATTGTTAAATGTAATGATATCATTAATCTGTATTTCTGCCTAGATGGAGCTATTATAAGTGCTCACTTAAGACAGGTGGACTTCATAGAGAGGTATCCACTAAGGCTGGCAGGGTAATTGTCATGGGGGTAATTGTGCTGGAGCAGTTGCAGGGGGTAACTGTCCAGGGGTTAAATGTCCTTGTTGAGTAATTATCATTCGGTTGTTATACTGTATGGATTTCTTGATTCCTTTTTCCGCCAGATATTGATGAATGCGAAAAAGATTCCACCCTCTGTGCTAATGGAATATGCGTTAACACCGATGGTTCTTATACTTGCAACTGTGACGTAGGGTTCCAACTAGATGTCACTGGTGTCAATTGTAGTGGTATGCTTTTCTGAATTTTGCTTCTTTCTTGTAGAGTTGCTTTCTTGCCATAAAGGTGGAATTCCCCTATAATCAATCCATCTTTACACAATCCCCCCTCCTCCCCAACCAATTACCATCCTGAATTCAAATCTGCTCCATTTTCTCTTTAAAAAAATGAATATTACCTCTTTAAAAAAGTGAATATTTCATCTTGCTGTAAAAACCAAGACGTACATTCCAATGTAGTCCTACATGTATTTCATGTAAAGACACATTCCTTATATGTAAATTATTTTTTAGTGTACAAAGTTGATAAAGTGTATCAACATTTTGAAAGACTTTATCTTCTAACCGATACCGTTGTCTCCTGTATAGACATTAATGAGTGTGATGCTGGGAATCTCTGTGCTAATGGAATTTGCCAAAATAACGAGGGATCATACATGTGTTCATGCATTCCTGGATTTGCAGTAGATTCAACAGGGACTACTTGTGATGGTAAGTAAATCTTAAAATCATTTTTTTTAAAGAAACCCCATCAATATTTGTATCAATTTATTTCTTAACTCTTATCATTGGTTTATACCATCAATGCAACCTTTTTGTAACAGCCCGCAGAATTGTTGCCTAGAGAATACCCTCAAGGTTCTCTTGCCACCATGCAAACCTCTCAATTCTGTTTTTTGTATATTCTGTTGGATTATCTTTCCTTCTCCTTTTTTCTGTTATACTTGTAACTTCCTCATGAATTTGTAAATGTCAATGTATTTCTCTGTGCACATAATCTGTTTGAATTGTATTTTTATTGGAATTATGAAAATACATAAAGAGGTTCCTAAAAGAACGCAAAAGTTGAGATCTATGACTTCAACGACATCATTGAGAAAATGTCGTTTTGTTTATTGCATATCAGACAACTTTTTCATCCATGTAAAATCAATACAAGATCATAATGTGTGTGTGTGTGTATTGAGTTTTTACATACGTGTATCATATATGATTATTTATATTTATTATTTACCAACCTTTAAACGTCACCATCCGAAAGACGTCATATGTTTGAGTAAGGTATTTTTATCCTAGGGCTTTTTAAGGATGCAATTTCATTTTTAAAATTGGTTAGTTTTGCAAAAAGAAGGAGCTAGAAATTGGCATATGATGGCTTGCCCTAAGATCAGCTGTGTCAACAAAAGCAAGACTGCTCTTGCTTTATAAATGAAGGCACCATTAATGAAATGGGGGCATTCAATACACAACATTGTCCGTCTAGCGAAGTTGTTGCAAAAGTAGCAAATTTTAGAAAATTACATTGCCTCTAAAAAATAGCCCCAAAATCAAAATTCCTTCATAGTAATAAAGACTGATGATCTTGGAGAAAATTTCCTTCCCAATAAAAGAAATAAAATATCAATGTCATTTCGTCTACAAATCTGATTGAAGTTACAGATGTCAGCATAGCATTCTTTTGGGGCACCTTGTTTAACCCCATTTTAACTGGGCTATTTCAGACCAGGTTTTTACTGGGGGGGGGGGGGGGGTCAATTTGACCCCCCCCCCCCCCCCCCCCCCCTCCTCTAAGATCTCGGCCGTTTTACTGCCGATCGCCGCGAAAATTTGCATGTCAAGTGAAGTGTATAGAATACTATGGTAATTTCTATTTTTTGAAAAATTCACTCATTTGCATATTTATGGTAATTTATGCAAGTACAGCTGTAAGGTCATAAACTTCACATTTTTGCCCATAAATCATACTTTATTGATATTTAAGCATTCTTTTTCACTACATATATTTGTTAGACCGTTTGGAATAATGATACAACACAAAAAATTGGAAGAGCCAGGTTATTCGTTATGTTATCTCTCATTTTGATCATTTCTTGTGTATTTCATTTTTTTTTTTACTTATGTATTTTATTGTTTTTGTTGTTTTATTTCATTTATAACTACAATTCAACTATTTTGACCCCAAAACAAACACCCAAACTTTAAACAAGTTTAAAGAACCAATGTTTTATCTCTTTTTAGGAAAAATGCAATTTCTACAGGGGGGGGGGGGGGGGTCAAATTGACCCCCCCCCCCCCCCCCCCCCCCAGTTAACGTAGGGTTAAAGAATTTTTTTAAGGAAACGGATACAAAAGGCTGAATTATTGTCTACTTAACTTTAGCCAAGCTGCCACTAAACGGCTCTTATGAAATTTAGAAAGTAAGAATATCAATCGAAGAGTTCAACTGTTGAACCTATGTTCTGCTTGTGAACAGGACCTTTTCCAAGTCGATCTATGTTCACGTACTACATCTTTACCTGAATTACTATTATTAATTATTTAATTTGAATTAATTTAATCATTCTACTTGAATCATTTCATTAATATTAATGTACTTGAATTAATTATTCAACTTTGATCTTAATCACATTAAGAATACAAAGTACCAGACTAAAAAGTAACTGGATTTATATTCCATCGGTTATGATCATAAAAAAGGCTAACATGTTCTTCTCCAAATTGCCCCTGATTAGATATTATCGAGTGTGAGGATCCCTCCCTGTGCGTCGATGGAACATGCAACAATATCATGGGGACGTTTAGTTGTGACTGTAACGATGGATATGAGAAGAATATCAACGGAAAGGCTTGTAATGGTATGCTGATATTTCTTTATATGATTTTCAATTAGACAGCCAAACTCTTTTTCATGAAAGAATACTGTGGTTTGATACTCTCATTCAGAACGTCTCTACAGAAGAATACAACAAATTCTTCCCAGAACTACATGCTTACATTTCTGTGATCTGCTTACAACTTTCTCAATCTTGATCACTCCTTCCTTTCCTTTCCTCTTTCCATTTCACCTATTCATTATAATATTTTGTATACCCCAGTACGTGTACTGTATATTTTAAAAACAATGCATATGATATTCCAAGTGACAATATAGTATACAAATATGCACTGCCTTGAGAGGTTCTGGTTAAAACTATGCGCAAGAGGTGACTCCAATAGTACAATAGTATTTGCTGAGGGGCGCAGCCCCGAAGCAAATGGTACTTTTGGAGTCACCGAGGCCCATAGTTTAAACATTACCTCGAATAGAAGGCATGGTATATTTGTTTTATATCCTGCATCAAAAATTTATTATTAAAAAAAAAAAAAAAAATTAAAATGTCAATTTTTATCTAAAAAGATTTAAAATATTTTGTTTTCATTAAATTAAAAATAATTAAAAATTAAAATTAAAAAATTGATTCAATTAAAAAAAAAAAAATCACATTTTTGTTCAACTCCCAAATAGTAAACCGAAATAGTACTCTTATATAGTACTTTCTAAAAATAGGTTAAATATTTATGGTCATGTGACGAGCTCTCAACCAATCAAAAGCCAACAAATTTTTGATGCAGGATACAATTTATACTATCTAGTTGTCGATACTACCCCCCTCCCCCCCCCTTAGAAATTCATTGATTACCATGCAACTGTTGAAGACTGTGTTCAGCCTTCTTATCACTTTTTTTTAAAGGTGTTGCATACATTTTTTAATCAAATTTGCAAAAACCTGACATTTTTTGCAAGCTTACACAAATTTGTGTGATTGCATGTTAGGCCAACTTTGAACGATGTGTCATTTTCCACATGTTTTTCTAAAAAATACTGTTTTCACTAAATTTAACTTTAAATTGTATAATTACAACATATACCGGTATGTATTCATGGAACTTTTCTTTTCTATTGAGACCAACATAACTATGATAAAATGAAATGAAATGATCAATGGATTACTTCTATTCTTATGTTTTCTTTCCCATATTTAGATATCGATGAATGTGCAAACATTCCAAACCCATGTGGGAATGGAACCTGTAACAATATTGACGGGACTTATGGGTGTACCTGTCACCCTGGATTTGAGGCCAACGAGAGCGGTACTGCCTGTAATGGTAAGATTGTTACCACTGGCAAACAGAAGGGCATGTGGGGGGAGTTTCACAAAACTTGTCATCAGTGACAAATAACAATTTTTGTTATAAGCTGCTGAAATCCTTGCTTGTGATTGGTTATCAGCAGATTTGTCACTGATTATTGTCATTTGTCATTGAAAAAAGGCTTTGTGAAACAGGTCCCAGTTCTTACCTTTATCACAAGGTTAATGTCTGTATGTCTGTCTAGTTAAAATGATATCTCAAGAACCACTTCAGAAATGAACTTCAAACTTGAAGATAGTTTGTATCACTATTGGAAGACGGTCTGAATAGATTATAGAGTAACTAGGTCCAAGGTCATTAATGAAATTCCTGGTATTTGCCTCGTTATAGCGATATCGCGATCTAGAATCACTAAAGATTTGAGGCACAAAATTGGTGATATTATGTATTACCCTATAAAGACAATCTAATTGAATTTCCAGTTTATAGGTCAAAGGTTACAAAGTTCAATTTCAACATTTTAGATATAGCCTTTTTGCAAATAAACAAAAAAAGGACCACAGGAGATACGAGGCTTAAACTTGGTGATCGTGTGTATCACCATATGAAGATGATCTGATCAGATTATTGGTTCAAAGGTCATAGAAGTCAGTTCATGAATTTACAGGTTTTAGCCTTACTATTGCGATATCTCAAGAACCATAGAAGATGGGCTTTTTGTTTTTAGTGTGATATTTCATGGATAAATCCAGCCATTTCCTATACCTTTAGAGCGGATGCATATATGAGACGCAGTGGCATTTATGCTCTTTTTTAATGTATTTTTGATTCTTTTCTAGACATCATTGAGTGTGCTGGTAATGCTAATCCCTGTGGTGATGGAGAATGCACTAATACCGATGGATCTTACATGTGCATCTGTGACAGCGGCTTTAGATTAAGTGTGGATGGCAGTACATGTGACGGTATGTACATGTACCCAAAATTTCTACAATTGATAACATATAACGTCGGTGGGGTGACAAAACCTCGTATCTCTAAAAATCATGAATTTTCAGGAGAGCGGAAAATTATTTCCTGTCTCAACAGACTTAGTGCTGTGACACCGTCCTTTGTGTGGAATTTGTGAAAAAACCGAGACAGGAGGCGTTCCATGGATTTATCAGGTGGTGTCGTAGGCCATTAGGTACACAATTATGAAAAAAAAAATCAAAATCTCAAAAAATTGAGATACAAGGTTTTGTCACCCCACCGACTATGAAGAGAACGTATACGTTTAATAACTAATGAACTTTCTCATTCTTGTTATGTTGTTGTGGAAGAATATCACCAAAAATAATTCCCCTGAAAGGATGGCTTTCCAATTCCAAATGCCATATTCAAATTATGCCAAGAAATAAATAAAGGTTGTGGACCACACTTTCATGCCACATACTTGTGTATTTCCATATGTATTTTTCTGTGTACAGTTCATGGTAATGGAGCCTTATACCCCGGCTGTATCTAAATGTCTGCTTTATCAGAATACTTCAAAGAATCCATCTCCTCAAGTACCCTTTGGGTGTTTTACTGGATATTGAACCCAACACCCATCTCAGTTCACATAAAAGAGTAAAGGCTTGTTCCGATATGAAGTAAACCACCGCCCAAATGTATAAAGGAATGGCAACGTCATAACTGAGGCCTTGCCCATATTCCCTGAAGCACTGTGTTATAAGATACAGAAATGTGACGGATAATACACAAGAATGCTACTAGATTGGACATTACCAATATTCTGGCAATTAATATTTTAGACGTAGGCAGCGAAATTGTACAGTTTTATGTTTATATAGAGGACATTACTCATCATTTAAAAAGTTTCTTCAACGTTTAAATTGTATCAGTAAGATATAAAGCTTCTCTCTCTCTCTCTGCTTTTTGGCACCAACCCCCAGTCAATGAATGTATCAGAGTATTATTAATGCATTAATCCAAACATTCTACAACTTTATTTTCTGTTTAGCCGAGTGTGGTGGAGCTGTTTGTCAGAATGGCGGAGCATGCGGGAGTACTAACCAGTGTGATTGTGCTAATACTGGTTTTACCGGTACTATGTGCGAGACTAGTAAGTACCCCTCCCCTGAAAAAAATATATAAATATAAGTTTAGTTTTAATAATTATAAGAAATACATTAAAATGACAAGTAAATGATAAATCAATGAATAAAAAGGAAAAGTATTAAATAAATGAGAGATAATTTTATTAGTAAATATGTGCAATTGACAAAACGGGTATATTGATACTGCAACATCTTAGGAAGCTGTGAAGCTATTTATACCAAACTTGGCCCAATCAACTGGCATATAAGGATTACTTTATTAAATATTCTTTAGGTGTAAAAGGTATGAAAGGTCAAATTAGTTTTACAAATGATGTAATTTATTCCTGAATTGTCATACATTTACATTTGAAATACGACTTAATACTTAATTTTCCCTTTTATCTGCCCAAAAAGATTAATCTGTCAAAACGAAAATTATTTCTCTTCACTTTGATCACTATCATTGTCTTTGGAACTCAATTTGCACAGATATCGATGAATGTGAAAGCAATCCTTGTATGAATGGAGGAAGTTGCGCTGATGAAGTTAACTCTTTTACTTGTTCTTGTGCTGATGGCTATACTGGGACTTTGTGTGGAACAGGTAAGCTACAAGGTTGAATCATATTACATACCTACATACATGCACTTATTATGTAGAGCAATTGCTCCTTTCTAATCAGGAAATTAAAGATGAAGAGCGAATAAAATAATAAAAAGAAAGAAACATTATAAAGGTCATTTAAAGAGCAGGTATGAGATTGTGATTCCCACAACGATCTCTATTAACAATGTGTGGTAGGGTATGATAAGTGTAGCCTTTAATAGAAATGATCAATAGATTACCTCTTTTCTGTTTTCTTTTCCATATTTAGACATCGATGAATGTGCAAAAATTCCAAACCCATGTGGGAATGGAACCTGTAACAATGTTGACGGGACTTATGAATGTACCTGTGACAGTGGGTTTGAGGCCAACGAGAGTGGTACTGCCTGTGATGGTAAGATTTTCACCAGAAACATAAACTAGGTTATCAGTTCTTACATATACCATAGATCATTTACAGTTATGCATGTAATTGCAAAATTTTCACCAGTAGCATAAACAAGGGCATCAGTTCTTACTTTTATCAAAACTGCCTGTAATAGAAGGATTAAGGTCTGCCCGTCTCTACGTCTGCCCTGCTTTCTCAATAAAGCGATATATCAAGCCCCACTTCAGATATGAACTTCAAACTTGAAGATAGTAAATATCACCATAGAAAACGATATGAATACATTTTGGAGTAACTACATCAAAGTTCACGGAGTTCAATTCATGAATTTATAGGTTTTATTTAGCCTTGCTATTTTGATATCTCAAGAACCACAATAGATAGGCTTTTTCTTTTCAGTGTGATATGTCGTGAATAAATCCATCCATTTCCAAAACTGAATTTAGGGCGGAGGCATAGAGAAGATGCATTTGCATTTAGCATTTTTTTTAAATGTCTTTTTGTTTCTTTTCTAGACGTCGATGAGTGTGCTGCGGTTGCTAATCCCTGTGGGGATGGAGAATGCCATAATACCGATGGATCTTACATGTGCATCTGTGACAGCGGCTTTAGATTAAGTGTGGATGGCAGTACATGTGACGGTATGTACATGTACCCAAAACTTCCACCTTTGAAAACATATGAAGAGAACGTATATGAGCTTTGTCTTTCATTTCATGTTGTTGTGGAAGAATATCATCAAAAATAATTCCCCTGAAAGGATGGCTTTCCAATTCCAAATGCCCTCATATTCAAATTATGCCAATAAATAAATAAAAGTTGTGGATCACACTTTTATGCCACATACTTGTGTAGTTCCGTATGCATTTTTCTGTGTACAGTTCATGGTAATGGAACGCTATACCCCGGCTGTATCTTAATGTCTGCTATATATCAGAATACTTCACGGAATCCATCTCCTCAAGTACCCTTTTGGTGTTTTACTGAATATTGAACTCAACACCCATCCCAGTTAACATAAAAGAGTAAAGGCTTGTTCCGAAATGAAGTAAACCACCGCCCAAATGTAAAAAGAAATAGCAACGTCGTCACAGAGGTCCTGCGCATATTCCCTGAAGCACTGTGTTATAAGATACAGAAATGTGACGAATAATACTAAATATGCTACAGTTTTTTAGCGTCATATTTGAACAAGCATCCAGGGGGCTAGATTAGACAATTAATATTTTATACATAAGCAGCTAATTTGTACAGTTTTATGTTTACATAGTGTGCATTACTCGTCATTTAAAAAGTTCTGTCAACGTTTAACTTGTAGCAGTAAGATATAAAGCTTCTCTCTCTCTGCTTTTTGGCACCAACCCCCAGTCAATGAATGTATCAGAGTATTATTAATGCATTAATCCAAATCTTCTACAACTTTATTTTCTGTTTAGCCGAGTGTGGTGGAGCTGTTTGTCAGAATGGCGGAGCATGCGGGAGTACTAACCAGTGTGATTGTGCTAATACCGGTTTTACCGGTACTTTGTGCGAGACCAGTAAGTACCTCCCCTGAAGAAAAAAAAAATATATATATATATATATATAAGTTTAGTTTTAATAATGATAAGAAATAAATAAAAATGACAAGCAAATGAATAAACCATTAAATGAAAGGAAAAGTATTAAATAAATTAGAGATAATTTTATTGATAAATATGTGCAAATGACAAAACAGGTATATTGATACTGCAACATCTTAGGAAGCTGTGAAGCTATTTATACCAAACTTGGCCCAATCAACTGGCATATAAGGATTACTTTATTAAATATTCTTTAGGTGTAAAAGGTATAAAAGGTCAAATTAGTTTTACACATGATGTAATTTATTCCTGAATTGTCATACATTTACATTTGAAATACGACTTAATACTTAATTTTCCCTTTTATCTGCCAAAAAAGATTAATCTGTCAAAATGAAAATTAGTTTCTCTTCACTTTGATCACTATCATTGTCTTTGGAACTCGATTTGCACAGATATCGATGAATGTGAAAGCAATCCTTGTACGAATGGAGGAAGTTGTGCTGATGGAGTTAACTCTTTTACTTGTTCTTGTGCTGATGGCTATACTGGGACTCTGTGTGGAACAGGTAAGCTATAAGGTTGAATCATATTACATACCTACATACATGCACTTTTTATGTAGAGCAATTGCTCCTTTCTAATCAGGAAATTAAAGATGAAGAGCGAATAAAATAATAAAAAGAAAGAAACATTATAAAGGTCATTTAAAGAGCAGGTATGAGATTGTGATTCCCACAACGATCTCTATTAACAATGTGTGGTAGGGTATGATAAGTGTATCCTTTAATAGAAATGATCAATAGATTACCTCTTTTCTGTTTTCTTTTCCATATTAAGACATCAATGAATGTGCAAACATTCAAAACCCATGTGGGAATGGAACCTGTAACAATGTTGACGGGACTTATGAATGTACCTGTGACAGTGGGTTTGAGGCCAACAAGAATGGTACTGCCTGTGATGGTAAGTTTTTCACCAGAAACATAAACTAGGTTATCAGTTCTTACATATACCATAGATCATTTACAGTACTGCATGTAATGGTCAGATTTTCACCAGAAGCATAAATAAGGGTGTCAGTTCTTACTTATATCATAGATCATTTACAGTTATGCATGTAATTGCAAAATTTTCACCAGTAGCATAAACAAGGGCATCAGTTCTTACTTTTATCAAAACTGCCTGTAATAGAAGGATTAAGGTCTGCCCGTCTCTACGTCTGCCCTGCTTTCTCATTAAAGCGATATATCAAGCCCCACTTCAGATATGAACTTCAAACTTGAAGATAGTAAGTATCACCATAGAAAATTATATGAATACATTTTGGAGTAACTACATCAAAGTTCACGGAGTTCAATTCATGAATTTATAGGTTGTAGCCTTGCTATTTTGATATCTCAAGAACCACAATAGATAGGCTTTTTCTTTTTAGTGTGATATGTCGTGAATAAATCCATCCATTTCCAAAACTGAATTTAGGGCGGAGGCATAGAGAAGATGCATTTGCATTTAGCATTTTTTTTAATGTCTTTTTGTTTCTTTTTTAGACGTCGATGAGTGTGCTGCGGTTGCTAATCCCTGTGGGGATGGAGAATGCACTAATACCGATGGATCTTACATGTGCATCTGTGACAGCGGCTTTAGATTAAGTGTGGATGGCAGTACATGTGACGGTATGTACATGTACCCAAAACTTCCACCTTTGAAAACATATGAAGAGAACGTATATGAGCTTTGTCTTTCATTTCATGTTGTTGTGGAAGAATATCATCAAAAATAATTCCCCTGAAAGGATGGCTTTCCAATTCCAAATGCTCTCATATTCAAATTATGCTAAGAAATAAATAAAAGTTGTGGATCACACTTTTATGCCACATACTTGTGTAGTTCCGTATGCATTTTTCTGTGTACAGTTCATGGTAATGGAACGCTATACCCCGGCTGTATCTTAATGTCTGCTATATATCAGAATACTTCACGGAATCCATCTCCTCAAGTACCCTTTTGGTGTTTTACTGAATATTGAACTCAACACCCATCCCAGTTAACATAAAAGAGTAAAGGCTTGTTCCGATATGAAGTAAACCACCGCCCAAATGTATAAAGGAATGGCAACGTCGTGACTGTAAGATATAAAGCTTCTCTCTCTCTGCTTTTTGGCACCAACCCCCAGTCAATGAATGTATCAGAGTATTATGAATGCATTAATCCAAATATCCTACAACTTTATTTTCTGTTTAGCCGAGTGTGGTGGAGCTGTTTGTCAGAATGGCGGAGCATGCAGGAGTACTAACCAGTGTGATTGTGCTAATACCGGTTTTACCGGTACATTGTGCGAGACTAGTAAGTACCTCCCCTGAAGAAAAAAAAAAATATATATATATATATATATATAAGTTTAGTTTTAATAATAATAAGAAATAAATAAAAATGACAAGCAAATGAATAAATCAATAAATAAAAAGGAAAAGTATTAAATAAATTAGAGATAATTTTGTTGGTAAATATGTGCAAATGACAAATCAGGTATATAATGTTACTGCAACATCTTAGGAAGCTGTGAAGCTATTTATGCCAAACTTGGCCCAATCAACTGGCATATAAGGATTACTTTATTAAATATTCTTTAGGTGTTAGAGGTATGAAAGGTCAAATTAGTTTTACAAATGATGTAATTTATTCCTGAACTGTCATGCATTTACATTTGAAATACGACTTAAACTTAATTTTCCCTTTTATCTGCCCAAAAAGATTAATCTGTCAAAATGAAAATTAGTTTCTCTTCACTTTAATCCCGATCATTGTCTTTGGAACTCAATTTGCACAGATATCGATGAATGTGAAAGCAATCCTTGTATGAATGGAGGAAGTTGTGCTGATGGAGTTAACTCTTTTACTTGTTCTTGTGCTGATGGCTATACTGGGACTCTGTGTGGAACAGGTAAGCTATAAGGTTGAATCATATTACATACCTACATACATGCACTTTTTATGTAGAGCAATTGCTCCTTTCTAATCAGGAAATTAAAGATGAAGAGCGAATAAAATAATAAAAAGAAAGAAACATTATAAAGGTCATTTAAAGAGCAGGTATGAGATTGTGATTCCCACAACGATCTCTATTAACAATGTGTGGTAGGGTATGATAAAAGTAGCCTCACTAATATTTGTTTGCACAATGCAATCTCATGTCCAGAACTCAACCATTTCCTTCATCGTCAATATCACCATCATTATTATTTTTTGTTAAATTGTTAATATAGTTGTTATTATTATCATTATTATTATTATCATTATTAGTATTGCCATCATATATTATCATTGTTTATATTATGATAATTATTATTAAAGATTATTCATCATATTGTTCCAAATTTTCATTTTACCACTTTACATAGATGTTAATGAGTGTGAGCTTGATTCGAGTCTCTGTAGTAATGGAAGATGTGTCAACTTGGATGGATCATACACTTGTATCTGCAATGCTGGATTCACATTAGTCAATGCAAATTCTTGCAATGGTATGTCTAAATATAAGTTTTTCTTTTTCAATAAGGAATAATATAGGTTTCTACCAACTTGGTAAAATTGAAATTACAGATAGATAATAACAAACAAATCAATATCAAGTTCGTTCAGTTTCATGCAAAATTTCATGAAGGAATAGTTCATCATCCAAATAGCATTTTTATATATCGTTTTTTATGCCTCCGTTACGAAGTAGCCGGAGGCATTATGTTTTCGGGCTGTCTGTCCATAGTACGTACGTACGTACGGCCCGTTCTCGTGATCGCGTTATCTCAAGAACAGACTGATAGATTCCTACCAAACTTTGGTCGTTTATGTAACTTGCAGAGACAATGATTTGATTAGATTTTGGGGTCACGAGGTCAAAGGTCACAGGGCTCATTATGTATGCAAAAATAGCTTGTGATCGCGTTATCTCAAGTACCGATTGATGAATTCCTGCCAAACTTAGGTCATGTATGTATCTTGCAGAACCAATGAATTGATTAGATTTGGGGGTCACGAGGTCATAGGTCAAAGGTCCCAGGGCTCATTATGTATGCAAACATAGCTTGTGATCACATTATCATTAGAACAGATGGACAGATTACCATGAAACTCAGGACATGTATGTATCTTGCTGAGGCAATGAACTGATTAGTTTTTGGGGTCATGAAGTCAAGGTCAAAGGTCATGGGGCTCATTATGTATGCAAAAATAGCATGTCATTGCATTATCATTAGAACCGATGGATGGATTACCATCAAACTCAAGACATGTATGTATCTTGCATTTTTGGGTCATGAGGTCAAAGATCCATACATGTATATGAGAAATAACTTGTAATCACAATATTCTGAGAATTGTTAATGGATTACAACGGAACTTGAATATGAAAAATTTCTTCCATTTTGATTTGTAAAATTGCTATATGACAGAGGCATCACAGTCGAAGTTCCATCTAGTTTGCATGTGATTTAATAGTTACATATCCAAAAGTATGTAACAACTTATATGCTCTGGCTCCTAATGGTTAGGAGCCAGAGCATATAACACTGAGTTCCTATGGGGAGTATATTTATTCAGATGGTCATATCTCAGCCAATACTTAACATATTCAATTGGTTTTCGACATTTGGACATTATTTTTGATGTTATTTCGGAATATGAAAAAGAAAATGAGAAATTCTAAAAACAGATTTTTGATGACGTCACACTTCACCACTCTATTGCATATATTGTACACTTTCCATCTGTGGTCTCATTATGGAAACCTTGTTTGATGAGAATACAAAACCAAATGTATTCATGATTTTTGCATGGAGGAAACACATTGAAGTATCCATAAATATCTTGGCTTCATGTCATTGTTTTTGTTTCTTTGTTCATGTATATCCAGCTCTCCCAAGCAGTCTGTCCACTAGTCAAGTGACTGTGAAGATTACAGGACAAAGTCTGAATGGTCAAACCCTGACGTATACACCAGAATTAACCGATAGGTCATCGGCCAAATTCATGGAATATGAAGTTGCATTCTGTTACATTGTAAGTATGTCTTTCTTCACCAGTAAATGCGAGAAAATTGATGACAATTCTATAGACTCAAATATGTACAAATGGTGCTTCTTCAGCACACTACATAATCACCATACATTATATATCACATTAAGATGTCCATACAAATGTCAGGTAGTGCAGTAGTCTACTGGAACTTTGTAATAAAGTGTTGGTTCCTCCTGAACAAATGCTACTTGTAGATCCATGAAATAAAAGAGAGAATATACCTGTAGTCCTTTCTTTATGCCTCCGCCACTGAAAATGGTGCACAAGAAATTGTTTTTATCGTCTTGCCAGTCCGTCCTCCGTTCGTCCCATTTGAACAAAACTTGGATGAAATATGTACAAGTATGAGTATGAAAAGTTGAACTGACTATATTTTTGGTGTTAAAGCTTGAAGGTCAAATGTCACAGGCTCATACATGTGTTTTCAAATACCAAAAATATATCTTGTTTACGCAATAGCTTGAAAACACATTGTAGTAATTCAAACCATACTTGGATGAAGTATGCATGAGCATTAAAGGATGAACTGATTGGATCTTTGGTGAGAGGTGTCAAAAGTCAAACGTCACATGGTCATGAAAGCGTTAAACTTACCAGAAAATATATCTTCACTGCAATAATGGGTTGATGTCAAAGTCAGAGGAACATTCATATAGACAGAGGTATATTGGAGAAGTAAGAGGAGACACTCTACTGCTATGGGTTATTAGTGTTGTATTTCTGATCATTTTGTTGTTTCCAGAACCTCATAGTTTACATCAATTTGTGTGCACTACATAATCACCCTGTATCTATTGATTTTTCAGTGCATGACTGGAACTGAACTTTATCTTTGAAAAAAAAATATATATATTTACATGAACTACATATGTATACAAGCATACTCTGATTCTGGCTTTCTCTACTTTCTCATTTATCAGTTCAGCCAATACGTAAGGGAACAGTTAGGTTCTCAACTTGTTAATGCTAATTGCATAGTGCTGTCATTCAGCCAAGGTAGCGTAGTCGGTGACGTGCAAGTGGAACTTGCTGCTGAGAGCCAAAGTGTAGCAGATGGGCTTGCTGTGAGTTTATCTGCCTTATCTACCAACATTGATCAAAACTTATCAGCTAATGGTCAAACTCTGGTAGCATCTATATCGGCAGAAGGTAAGAGTAAAATCCAGGCTTTTTTCACCAGCCATTCTTTTAAGACACCTTACAAGAGGATATTATCTTTTTAGTTGTCAAAACAAATAATGTTGTTGTTTGTGACTTGGTATCTTGACATGAGTTCAGCTGTATGCAATGTATAAAGAGCCACCTTCGCAAATGACAGGCAATGCCAGAGGACACAATCACAGGTCAATTTCAGATACTTGTTTGCATTAGAAATTTATAGTATAGCCTTGCAAATGTTAAAAGTTTGTGATTTTAATTTGACGGTCCCTAATTATTTGCAAAATCATATCTAAGATTAATTGGTAATGAACTCTAGATCACTAAGGGCTAGAGTGAGTATCTGATGCAACCAAGGGATAAGATGTGTTCAAGATACACTCGAACATACAGCAAATAGTGTTTGTTTTTTAAATTTGTTTGTGACAAATAATTCTTCAAATTATGATATCTTGGAGTGACTTGCATTTGAACCAATTGTTATGTCATCATAAAATATCGAATCAAAGATGGTTCTGTAATAATACATAGGCAAGAAAAGGCATGGTGCTGGTGCACATGGCGTTTGACATTGTCCAATCCATGGGATTCGACCCCTGTGCAGTCAACCGTGAAGAGATGCCCAACAAAAATGGTACTAAAATAAGAGGAATGACGCTACTTATCATATTCTGTACTTATAGTTCTATAAATTAGGCAATTTCAAAAATTGCACACATCTAGCTGTCAAAGCACATGTAGTATTCAGTATACTGTATTATTATTATTATTATTTGTTCATATTAGAGTAGTTATGGAGTTCTTGTGTTTTCTACTGTTTATACCTTGTCAATAAATAACGATAAAATAAGTTGGTCAGTTATCTGAAGTAATTTGAATCATTCATATATCTTTGAAATGAACAGTTCAGTGCGATCAAACAAACTGCCAGAACGGTGGGACATGTACTTCTGCTGGACAGCCTTGTAATTGCCCAGCTGGTTTTACAGGAGACCTTTGCCAGAATGGTAAGTTGTGTAATTAGTCATTTTTAGTGTGCTTATGCTCCCTCTCACTCATTCTCCCTAGGCGTACACGTTTATATATATATATATGGTGTTATATACAGTTTCACAAGAAATGGATGTGAGGGTACTCTCTTTTCTTTGCGTACATGTACATGTATATTTGTTTGATCATGTTTTTCCTAATCTCATATCTGATACATTTATTTTGCAGCTCCTCAAGGATTGTCGAATGGAGCCATCATTGGTATTGCTCTCGGAGTTTTTGGTTTTGTTCTTGTCCTCATAACCTGTGTCTGCTGCGTTTTCGTACAAGGTGTCAGACGAAATCAAGCAACAAAACTGATGCTCGCGTGAGTATTACAATACACTTACAAATGAACGAGCTCAAGCTATTACTTACCACATCTACATGTATGATTTCAATATATATGACGACTGTAGTAACAAGATAATAGCTCTAGAGCTTGAATTGGATAACACATTACATTAAATGGTAGTTTTATGTTGACACAATTCAATAATAGTATACCTCATAAAGTATGGGACCTATATATGTATTTTTGACTTGCCTTAAATGTATTTAAGGCAAAACAAAACAAACAAACCATTTTTTTATTACGAGCATACCAAAACTCTTTGTATATATGTTTATACATGTTCTTACTTATTGTTTATTGCTGTTATGAATTTATGTTCAATATTTTGTTATTAATATTATTATCATATCTATATTTGTTAAACTATAATGTACATCATTATGTTTAACAGGGCCTCATGGAAGACCACCATTACTGGTGATAAATCAGTCACCTTGTCTAAATATCAGAAATAAATAAATAAATATATAAATCTAGAGGTGCCTTGCCAAGTGATATTTAACTCTTCTTGACATGTTGTATGCATGATATTAAGAAAGTGTCTATCAATCTATAAATCTGCTGCCTATTTGTACAAATCTCTATCTACCTGTCTACATTTATTTATATAATTATACACCTTTATCCTCCTTTCTATCCATCTGCATACCTGTTTATCTATCTATCAATCTGTCCAACTCTGTGTAACCACAGATCCCTCTCAATTCTCTTTGAGATGCAGTGAACCACTTGATTGGACCATCACAGTTCTTAGTGATGGTCTTCTGTCTCGACACATTTTGTAAATTTGTTGATGCTTTTTCTCACAATGTTTACACTGATAACAACAAAATATATAACAATGATGTTTTTTTCTTCAGTGAACAACGGTATGACAATCCAAGTAGACAAAATAGAGGCTTCTACGGAAACGAATCTTTCAATGGTTCTGATGAGTACAACTCCCTTGAAGGACGCCGATATGCTGTTGGTCAAGCATTGGATCGACTGCGCGGAACTGATGCACTGGTAAAAACAGTTTCCTTGTCAATGTGTTTATATACCTCACAGATAATCTCCCTGTTCAACATGGTATTTATCATGTAATACATACACCAAAGGCTTCCTATATCTTACCAAAAAGATAAACAGTATATAGTTTTCAAACACCTGCACTTCATTTTCCATTGTAGCATTGTGTGCTTAAAACAATGCATAAATCATTATGCAACATATACAATGAATTTGACACCGGCACAGCAAGGGTTATCAAAATAACAACAAATATTGAAAAACAAAACAACCCTCATCCTCAAAAAATATCAAGGCATGGATGGTGAATGTGCACCGCCACCCCCCCCCCCCCCCCCATCCCGTACATAGCCTCCAGGACATATACCACTGCTTGAAATATCCACGTAAATGTCAAAATCTGAATATCAGTAAGGAATTATATTCAGCTGCACAATGAATGATCACATTGAATAGACCATTTTACTAACTGTTTCAACGTATACATGTTTCTTCTCCCCCATTACCAGTCATTCCATTCACCTGCTAATAATTGCATCTCTATGAATGGGGTTCACTTTGCTTACATTATTTCTTGCTATGTTGGACAATCCTCTGGCAAGTTTTTGAGCAGTCAAGAAAAACATTTGTTTAAAAATTATGCAAACAATGAATAAACATGTCTAGTGCGGCATGTTTTATTTTAAATTGTTATTGTTCAAGATACAACTAGATTCTTGTTTATCTGTTTTAATCAATATACTTTTGATTTTATAGATTATGTTTTGAAAGAAAAAGAATTTATTATGTCTTTTTTTATTGTTTGTCTTGTCAACAGCGTCATGGAGATGGCAATTTCAGGACTCCCTACGTGGTAGATGGGAGTGAAATGGTATGTAAAAGATTCTTTGCATTTGACAATGCTCCGATTCGTAGTGTCATTTGTCAGGAGAGTTTGGCCAACCATATTTGAGTTTGGCCAACCGTATTTGAGTTTTGCCAACCATATATGAGTGTTCCACAGTTTTGCAAATACTGCTATGATGGGCAGACACTGAATAAAAATACACCATGCTCTGACCAACTGAAATCAAGTTGGTCAAACTCTTGTGTATATGACTCTGAGTACTTGTAATACGGTATGCCACCTGTCAGATGCCGTGGGCCAATTTAGGACTTCTGGGCTCGACATAAAATCTGAGCTCTCTCGACGGCGTTGTTGCATGGCTTTTTTACCCACTGTTTGTGGACATTTGATGCATACAGAGTAATCGAATGAAGAACTTTGCAACGTGTCAACTCCTTTTTTCCAAGAACTATACGAGATTAGCATAAGTTACCCCGTTGTAAAGCTGCCCTTTCAAAATTCCTAATATGTATTAATTAATGCTTATTTAATTAATGATAACGATCTGGGTTTGTTATAGGGCTTGATACATTGGCAATGTCTCTAAGCCCTTTATTGTTATAGTATTACCATTGGTCATTGGATTAATGTTTGCCTGCACACAATGCATGCAAATGTAGGCACATTCTCCACTCCAGAGGTGCCAACATCCCAGCCAAGTGCCATTTCCCAGAAACTCCCAGAAACCTGGTACCCATTTAATACCTGAGTAGAGATTAGTAAATGTGGATTAATTCCAGTCAAAGGACATTATTGTTTGGCTTGGATTCAAACCCTCAACCCTTGGATTGAAAGGCAAGTGAATGGACCACTATACCACGACACCTCCACTTTCACCGTCTTAGGAAAATGAACCATTCCCAGTCTTAATATACTGGAATTACTTAGATAAACATGTGTAATTATGGTATTTTGCAATGCTTGTCATGTCACATTTGTGTCTTTTCTTAAACCCCTCATTTATTATTTCTACTTTAGAGTGTTCTGATCACCAGAAAATATATTGTTTTATATGTTACTAGTTCCATGTTGTATTACTTTATTCCAAATATGAGCTTTAGAGATATTACATATAAATATTTTAATTTAAGTCACTATATATATATATATATGTATTACACTCTCAATTATAAACAAGAAACTTGTGAGTAGACTATGCAGTATGCAGTGCACCTGTTGCGTTCGCTTCTAATAGGGCTCGCACCGCACAGGACGGAAGTCCAACTTGGGTTCCACATGCACTATTTTGTATCCTTACCTTTTAACCGTGAATCCATTAGATGCCTGGTTAAATGTTGAAGTTTTATTTATTAATTCTAGCAATACATAAGTTATTTGTGGTTAGTGATTGGTACACTTTAATACCAAATGATATGTATTTTCTTTCAAACTTTGATATTTTGTTTCAATTTTTTTGTTTTGTTCTACTCTTCTTTATTACAGTACAACGGTGTGGAGCGAAATCCAATGCATTATTGATCACCAAGAAACTTACCTTCGGACAAAGAACGAATATGACAACGGAAAAGAATATAGTGAATTAGTTATATATTTCTTATGGATAGATGGGTTCTCTTCTGGATAGGCTAAATATCAAAGTGTATACAATCATATTATTATATTAATTAAGGGCTTACTTGCATTTGACAGATTGACTGAATAAATTTAAATGCATATGATGTAGAAAGGAGAGCGTTCAAGTAAACAGAATGGTGTGATCATATGGGATGAATCCATGGCGCTAAAACAATACAAACAGTAATTTTGAATCTTTCTTTTATGAATATAAATAACATTGTTTACCTCTTGCACTTTTATCTGTCACATTTTTGCCAGGTACCAAAGTAACGCCCTGGATAGGCTAAATATCAAAGTGTATACAATCATACTATTATATTAATTAAGGGCGTACGGTATTTGCATTTAACCGATTGTTTGATGTAATCATGCTAAGTCTCTATTACAAACGATCATACTATTATATTAATTAAGGGTTACTCACATCACTCTTAAAGTACTACTTATCAGCAAGTCTTTGTTAAAAACATAAGACTATGATATAGAAATATTTGAAGATAAGTATAAAAATGAATTGAATACGATTTTCTGTATTATCTGTGAGTGTATAAGGGCTGCATTGTTGATCAGGACGGGTTTGATATCATATCTGTATTGATCAAGTAATTTATGTTTATCTCACGCTTTTAATGCGGATCAATTTTAAGACTTTAAATAGTACAAATTTTCTATAGTTTTATTTCAAATGCTTATGTTAGCGGGGAGTATACCACCCCCCCCCCCCCTCTTTCTCTCTCTTTCTATATATATAGTAGATAACTACTCCTTTTAATTGATATGATTTTGTATGAATAGATTTAATTGCATATTATGTAGAAAAGGGCTTTCAAGTACCCAGAATAATGTGATCATGTGATTACCTGTCACATTTTTGCCAGGCACCAAAGTAATGCACTGGATAGGCTAAATATCAAAGTGTGTACAATCATATTATTATATTAATTAAGGGCTTATGGTATTTGCATTTAACCAATTATTTGATGTACCCAGAATAATGTGATCATATATGATAAATACATAGCACTAAAACAATACAAAGAGTAACTTAGATTATTTTCTTTATGAATATTAAACAATGTTTTTTTACCTCTTGCACTTGTACCTGTGACATTTGTGTCAGGTACCAAAGTAACCCCCCCCCCCCCACCTCCAGGAATATTTTTAATCCCATTTGCTTGACTTGCAATTACAGGATTGTGTAACAAGGACTTGTTTGTTCAATTAATTAATAAAAGGTTATGCTGATTTTATGAAGATTAAGGGAAGTGTAACCAAAACTTTCACTTAGGTCCTTTCTCTTGTTTAGGAACGTGTCGCTTCAATAATGATGTAGAAATGAATTGGGTTGAAAGGGAAAAAAAATACATGAATGTACGCATGATGTATTGAAACAAAGCAGGCTTTCAATGGATGTGTCATGTAGCACAATACAAGTAAATTTATTGACGCACACATACTTTCTTTTGTCTCATTGCCATTTGAAAATATTTTTCTAAACATGTAATATATCTTTTGTTTAATTTCTATTTTCATGTTCCTCGGAAGCAATTCCTTATACAGTACTATGATTACCCCTTATAAGTCTTTCAGTTTTCAAGGATGTATTTTTTTTTTAAATTTCGTACGATATATTTTTGTATTGATATATATTTTTCATTAGAGATCACAAGTAATTGAAATAAATGTTCCAATAGGGAAGACTGCTGAATAGTTATTTGAGTTCATGTGTGATTCATAGAGTGTATTTTTTCAATACAGACAATTTAAGACGTGTTGGTATACTATTATTATTATAATCATCATCATCATCATCATTTTTAATTTTAATATTATCAACATTTATAATCAATAATATCAAGATTGTTGGTATACAAATTATCACTATTTATTATTATCATTATTATTATTAATAGATAAGAGATTATATATTAACGATTGCTTTATGACTGATCATCAAATGGTTCATTAATACATAAGTCATTCAAGGAGAAGTGGGAATTGTATAGAATATGAGAAGAAAGAGAAGGGAAAGGTGTATAAATGAGACGGAATGAAGTATAAACACAACAGAGACGGATAGAGATAGAGAGAGAGACTTTTGAAACAATTGCAATCATAGACAATCGAGAACTAAAAAGAAAAGAAAAGAATGAAGAAGCCAGAAGGAGATCGAGACTTTGTTTCAACATATGTAAGGATTCCATCGTTTTTGGAACGTGTACCTGTAAAGCCACTATTTTAGTTTGTTTCTGTAGAGTACAAAATACGGTTTTGCAGCATATAGGCAGGGGCGTCGCTAGACCTTTTTCCGTGGGAGTGGAGGGGGGGGGGGCAGGCGCGGATCCAGGATTTCTTAGGGGAGGGGGCCCAACTTTTTTTTTTTTTTGGCTCCCGAAAATTTGAAAATCGCGCCGGCCGAAAAGTCGCTCAGTGGAGGAAGGGGGAGGAATTGAAAAACGCGCCGGCCAAAAATTCGCTCAGTGGGGGGGGGGGGGGGGGGGGGGGGTAGTGAGCCCAACCCCAAAAAAGGTTAAAATCACGTGATTTTACATGATTTTTTTTCTCAAGGAGGGGGGGCCGGGCCCCCCACCCCCCTGGATCCGCCACTGGGGGGGGGGGGGGGGTTAGAGGCCGCCGATTACAGACAAAACTAGCCACCACTTACCGAAAAATATATCAATGCCAATATCCCAATGTCTACAAATTTTACCCTAAAAACCCGGGGCAAGAAACTATCATTTGTCATCACCCCCCCCCCCCCCCCCCTGACAGTTCATTACATTATTAGAGAAAGAAGACGATTCGTTATACCGCTCCCGACTCTTAATAACATTAATAATAATAGTAAGTTCTTGTATAGCGCTCATGTCAGTCAGTCACCCTCCTGGCGCTCCTGATCATTACCCTGGCATTAGCACGGCTGCCATACGGCGCTCTAGCAATTCAAGGAATAAATTCCTACCAGGCAGTGGCGAATCCAGGGGGGGGGGGGGCCGGGCCCGGCCCCCCCCCCCCCCCCCCCCCCCCCCCCCTGAGAAAAAAATCATGTAAAATCACGTGATTTTGACGTGAAAAAAAATGAAATGAAAACAAATTCAAGGACCAAAAAAAAAAAATGTGCTCACCCCCCCCCCCCCCCCCCCCCCCCCCCCCCCCCCCCCCCCTCCCCCTCACTGAGCGACTTTTCGGCCGGCGCGATTTTCAGATTTTCAAATTTTCAAATTTAAAAAAAAAAAAAAAAAAAAAAAAAAATCGAAAATGTTTCTTTTGGCCGATACAAAAGTGACAGATTGCCGGCCGACCAAGATAATACATCTTACCGACTTCAAACTTCTGCATTTATATATATAACAATAATAATAACTAGACTGTAATTCGTCACTTTGACGAATTAGGTGATACGTAAGCTATTTTTGTATCATGAGCGTGTGCCAATGTTGATCTAATGATAATATTCATAAATACGATAATGACGATATTGATGATGATGATTTGTTTCTTTTAAATGACGATGACAATGATTAAAAGTGGTATAGCGCCCCCTTTAGGTATTCGATAGAGAATTGTTATATGATTAAACTATTAATTTACTAAACAAGCTCAAATTTTTGCCTGATTGCAGAGCCTATCAATCATTGAACTGATATTTCGACGCACTACTTACGCAACATAATGAACAAGTCTAGACTAAAATGTAGTATCAATCACCTCCCATAGGCATAAGACGCATATTCAGCAAAAATCTAATGACGTCATCAAAATGAATAAATATTGGTAATAATCTTGTGAAGAATTTTCTCAGCTACAACATATCAAAACTTAGAAGAAAATTGATCAATATTTGCAGAGATACAATCATTTTCCGTAAATATGTTGACGTCATAATATGCAAATTCGTATTTTGAGTTCCAAGGTAAACATGATTATGTAAAAATATACCTAATGGCCAACTGAGACATGAAATCATATCTCTGACTCATACTCTATCCAAGGAGTTACTAACTCCTTGCTCTATCTAAATATGAAAAAAAATGGCAGTCCTTATTCATCCCGATGTACTTTTTATAGGCATGTTTTTGCCCATATATGCTATGTAATACATGAGCTAGCACGCATGGATATTTATCTTCAACGGGCGCTCATTACGTTATTAACAGAGATAAAGAGATGAACATGGTATCAAATTGTTTAGAAAAATATGAGGAATATCCTGTCTAAAAAAAATGAGGGGTAATTATTTCTCGTTCGGCCGTGACGCACGAAAACGCGCAAATATGCGCGTTTTTGCGCGATTTTTTATGAAATGCTTATAATGGCCTGAAACGAATGTAAAAAAAAATTAAGACGATTTTGAGCAATTTGAAATTTTACGCGCGCGTTAACGCGCGCTCAAACGCGTACGCGCATTTTTGCACGTATTGACCTGAAATTGACCAGACGGATATTGATCTTAATCCTCATAATTATAAATGAGAAATTCCTTTCCGTTATGAAGATATGATCATAAGTTGATTTTCACAAAATGGTGCCTTGATCATCATGGATCTCGGGAAGATTGAAACAATATATGACCGTTGACCCTGTACAGTAACCAGTTACACCTTTGACTCTAATTTACATCATGAAGAACACATTTTTATGATTTTATCTTATTCAAAGAAATGAAAATGTAATTGATAAATGATTATCATCATTATGGTAATGATGGTCAACTGTAGGGCAGAGGGAGACAGACCAAGATAATAAGAGGGAGGCGAGGCAAGAGAGAGAGAGAGAGGGAGAGGGTGAAAGAGAAGAGAGATAGATGCAGAGACAGACCAAAAAAGGAGAGGAGCAGAACATGAGAGGAGAAGTAAAAGAGCAAGAGAGAGAGGAGAGAGAGAGAGAGATGCAATTGAGAACAATGCCTTCCAGATGACCATGATTGAAAGTGGTATAGCGCCCGCTTCAGGTATCCGATTGAGAATTGTTATATATGATGATTGACAAGTCACCTATGATTGAATTTTTGACTATGATAACGTCATGATAATGTTAGATAGTCTACATAAATCTTGTGGCAACTTGTCTCAGCTACAACATACTCGAAAATCAACAAAATCCAAGCAGAAATATCGACGATATTGCTCAAAACACAGGAATGTAGAATCCAGATTTCAAAAAAAGTCATCTCCCATAGGGATTAAACGCAAAAAGTAATGGATTAAGTGAAAATAGGGTAATACCAAAGTAAATAGGGTTGTTTTATACATTATTTGCGAATCTACATGTTTTAATATTCAAAGGAGAATGTAAAGTGAAAGGACAAAAAGAATGAAAAAAAAGTGAAAACAAAAAATTGTTGGCGACACCCGGACTCGAACCAGGGATCTCGAGGTTGAAAGTCACGTGCGTTACCGATATACCAAAACATTTCCGATAGAAATTACACGTAAACGGGAAATCGAATGCTCAAATCCTACTTTGGAAGTGCAATATGAGCATAATCCCGGCATCTGGTCGAAAAATAAAAAGCAAATTTGTGATAGCTTATGGTCTCAGCTACAACATACTCGAAGCTCAGCGAAAAGTAAGCTAAAACAATGGAGATTTTGTTCGCGAAAGACAGGAATGTAGAATCCAGTTTTGAGAAAAAGTCATGTCTAATAGAGAATACACGCAAAATGTGAAAAATTGACATGCCTCCTTTAATCGCAAAAATACGCCATGATGTCTTTGTCAAAATGAAAAATTGTGGCTACTGCATTTGTAGAAAATTGTCTCAGCTACAAGAAAATCGATCAGTATCTACAGAGATACAATCAATTTTCTAAAAATATGCTGACGTCATAATATGCAAATTGAAATTTTGAGTTTGGAGGCCATTATGATGACGTCATGAGTCAATCGAGGGTCAAATGAGACATAAAATCATATTTACGACTCATAATCTATCTAAATATGAAAAAATATTGGGAGTTCCTATCTATTCTGAAGAGTTACAAAGAATTTTGTATAGGCATGTTTTTGCTCATGTATTGTGGATAAAGATAACACAGGTCCTCGCGCGCTGCCAACTTTGACGGGCGCTCATTACGTTATTAAAAGATGAACAAGTTATCAAAATGCTTGGAAAAATGTGCCAAATATGATGACGGAGAAAATTCGGCGATTCTATGTTGCAAAATGCTAGAACGCGCAAAAAACGCGCGCGCATGCGCGTGATTTTTTGTCAAATGCTCCATATGGCACAAAACGTATGCAAAAAAAAAATTTGGGATGATTTGGAGCATTTAAAATTTTTGCGCTTGCGTAAACGCGCGGACGAACGCGCACGCGCGCATTTTCGCACTTTTATTGACCTCAACTTGACCGGTCGGATATTGATCTTAATCATGATAATTATGAATGAGAAATAACTTTCCGTTATAAAGATATGATCATAAGTTGATTTTCACAAAATGGCGCCTGGATGACGTCACGATAATTTTGAGCCATTGAAAAGTCACGCAGTTTTAAGTTAGACTAATATCTATCATCAGGAAAAGTTTTATGATAATAGCTTTATTCATTCTTGAGATATCCTGCGAACAAATTCGAGGAAGAATAATAATTTAAAAAAAAATAATAATAATAAAGAAAAATCTTGACGAAATCAAAAGGTGATTCGTCTACGTACGTATCACCTAATAATAAAAATATTGACGAAATCAAAAGGTGATACTTCTACG